CGCTGGCAAAAAGCTCGCGCTCTCGCTCTTGCACTCGCACTCGCACTCGCGTCTGCTCTCCGAAATTAGCAGCGACTAACGGTAGCTGTTATATGCTGCTGCTGCTGCTGCTGCTGCTCCCCTTTACCGTTTGCTTATTTTTGCCAAAAAATTAGATAGTTGTAAAAAGTGTGTTTGGTGGTAGTTCGGGCGCTCATTTGAGCCAATTATGTCATATGCACAGCACACAATAAAGCAACAATAAAACGAACAAAAAAAAAGAAAGAAAAGAAACCCCAAGCCCACAACAGCAACGGAGGAAGCAGCGCTCCATCTCGCAGACAAAGAGACAGAGGCAGAGGTAGAGGCAGGGAGAGAGATAGCGAGTGAGAGAGACCATTTCTTATGTAACTTTTATGCCCTTTTAAGCACAATTTTAGTATACAATTTATTTATACATTTTTGTTGCTGTTTTTGTTCTTGTTATTTTCATTCGTATTAAGCTTAATCGTTGGCCGCTGCTGCCGCTGTGCGGTTTTGCTCACTTTCAATTTTGTTCGTTTTTCGGTGGAAATTATTAAGCTGTTCGGCGCATCCGGCAACAGAGCAACCCAAAAAACCAAAAAAAAGGAGAAGAAAAGATGAGCGAAGAAAAGCAACAAAGATACACGTCAGATAGAGAACGAAGGAAAATTAATCGTGATGCACATTCAGGTTCAAGTTGAGTGAGGCGCAATGGTGGAAGATGGAAGATGGAACGGGCAGATGGAGTTGGAGATGAAGATGGAACAGGCAGATGGAAACGGAGTTGGAGCTGGGCACTGGCTAATTTGGATGCTGTGTGGATGATGCGGCGGCCATGAAGCAGCTGAAGCTGAACTGTGGCATGACCCGCGACCAGAGGGCATTGTCAAGCCTGGGATCGAGTGCTGGCTATGGGCGCTTTGACCATAAAGATAATGTCCATTGTTTAAGCCGAAGTTTGGCCCAAACTTAATCAGATCGCAGCATGACTTGGTAACAATTTTTCTTTTTGTTGGATCATCAAAATGGAAATTTGTGTGCTCTACTTTGACACAGAAATGTTGTGATGGGTAACTAAGTTAGAGTAAGATAAAGGATTGGAGCAATTTAAGAAAGACTGAGCACAAAACAACTCATTTGAGGGATTAAATGTTCCCTGCCCCGTACAAGATTTGTACTCTGATGTTGTGACGCTATCCTTGTGGCAATTAAAGTGACCATTGTTCATGCAACCCAACCTTTAAGCATTCAGCATTCAGCATACATCATACTGATTTATTTGTTGTTCGTTACATTTCGGTTTCGTTGTTGGGTCTTTGTTGCAGTCACATTCTTTTAAATACCAATTGGGGGTCAGTTAGTCTGTTGGTCAAGAGTCTGGAATTTTCAGCAAGTGCTTTTGTTGTACCACAAACGAGTTTAAACAGCGAACAGAGCGAGTGGAACTTGGCCTGACTTTGAGCCTGGACTGGGGGACTGGGGGCTGGGTACTGGGTGCTGTGCTATGCTCTGGGCTCCGATCTGGCTTAATAAATTAATTTATAACTTTTGCTTTTTTTTACTCACTCACACAGTCAGTCTGTCATTCAGTCGGTTAGTCCGTTGCTGGCTAACACGGAGAGACCTGCAAAACAAGTTGACCTTCAGGCCGCATAGCCGATACATGAATATACATGCATAAATATGTATAAATGTATCTATATTTATTTGTGTTTTTTTTTCTTGTCTTGATATATATTCATATCTCCATGACGGATTTACAGTTACGTGATGAAGTGACAATGTCCAGAGGCTGGCTTCAAGGGTGGGAATCTGATATTTTGGGCGCGAAAGGTGATCACCATACACCCTATCAGGGATACCACTAACCATACAGACAGATAGATAGATAGATAGATAGAGGAAATATGCTTTTGATGGAAAGCTTTCAAAGGGGTACAGAAAACTCAATAGATTATCGGGGAATCCTGTTACGTCTGTGAGCTCTAATGGGCAGAACCCACACTGACCAGATTCTAGAGCCCCCAAGGCCTGCTCAGCTCGTAAAGCTTCAATCAGTCAAACTTTGCACTCGAATATCAAACAAAGCAAAGTCTCTGGCTTCACTCTCCGTCTGTCGTACGAGTGGAGTGTTAATGATTTGCATGTCCCCAAATCAAAATCAAAGCTAAGGCCCCGCCACCACCAACTCCTGTTGGCTGTCGTTGTTGTCATGGAGTTGAATCATCCCGGCGGTCTCTGTGGAGCATGGTCTCGGTCTCGGTCTCTGTGCAAGTGAGCCATGCCAGGCAGCTATGCTCTACCTCTACCCGTTGCTGCTGCTGCTGCTGCTGGTGTTCCTCCTCTGATGTGGCCTGCTCTCGTATGTAACGTAACAAAAGCAGCAGCGCAGAGGAAGAAACAACAGCAACAAAAAATGTTTCAACATTTTGCAATGAGGTTGAAGGCACAGACTGCACACGTGTGTATCTGTCAGATACAATTACCAAAGCGATTGCAGTGGATGCGACTGGGAATGCTGGAATTTCAGGCAAATGCGGTTTAATAGCCCAAAAAAACCGGTAACCCCAGTCCAACCCATAACAGCACACAGAGCAGACTCTTCTACTTATAATCTTTTTAAATAATACAACAACAAAAATTAAAAGAAAAACAGATACAAAAACGCATCATTCAGCCTTCCTTCCATTCACTTTTCCCTCGCTCCCTGCGGCTGCCGCTGCTGCTGCTGCTGCTGCTGCTGTCCCTCTTTTGTGAGTGTCGACTGGTTTCACTTTCCGCTGAATGCGAATGCGAATGCGAATGCCGATTTGCCAATCTGAAAACCTTTCTATAGAGTCGCCTATACACGGATACAACGATACGCGGATACACGTGGAGAGGGTAAGAGTTAACCTTCGTCGAATTGGGAGAGTGGGAACAGAGGTCAAAGTTTATGTGATTGCAAACAGTTATTTATGACGACAACGAATGGAAGAGCGAGTGGAATGAATGGAGTCAGCTTTGGTCATAGTGGCAGGATCCTTAGGGAACCGAAAGAAAGGGTATTAAAGGGGCAACTTCTTCTGATAATTATCAGACAGAGGGCACGGCAGATGCAGATACAGATACAGCGAGATAGATGGATGGATGATTGGATGGCATGGCATGGCTTGGGATGGGATGGGTTCAGTTCATTGTCATTGTCTTTCGTCTTTTGGGTGCGGAGAGTCGACAAAGCGTAGGCGTTGGCGTTGCACTGCTGCAGTGATGCACTGCTGCTGGCTGGTTGCATGAATGTGCAAATTTAGTTTGACTTATTTTCGGGCTGGGCGCCAATTTCCGCTTGCCACTGAGAGACAGACAAACCAAGGGACAAAAGCCTCTAGCAGATTTCCTCTTCACACGCATTTTTGTGGCCTGACGTCAAGTCTGACTCGCACGGAATGGTGATGATGGGAGGAGGCTCATCAACAACAGGGCATCACAATAATGAGCATGAGCATGGGCATGAGCATGAGGCTGATGAAGATGATGATGATGATGAGGTATCTGTTGGCTAGTTTGTACCGCGGCACTTGTCGCCAAACGTGTTTGCGCCCCCGCGTGCCCGTCAAAGCCAAAAAAGCCAAAAATAGGAATAAAAAAAACAACAAAGTTCCTAAACAAGTTTTCTGCGCATGCGCCACAGCCACAATGAAATTTGCATGAGAGCCCAGCCGCAGGCAGCAAATATGAGCGTCAGTCCGTAGTAACTTTGCCCCGTTTCGGGGCAAATTTGAGAGCTACAAATGTACACCTATGTATGCATGTATGTATAATAGCCCATACTACCAGGCGGATGTAAAAAACAAATGCCCAAAACGAAACGAAACGAATCCGAAACAAATGAAATTTGATTGAATTTCATGTTATTGGATGTCGATTTGATTTGTCTGCTCGGGGGCGCTCTCGTTAGAGATATCAAAGTATCTATCATGGATTGAGCTGCTTATGCATTGCATGTATCTGAGTATCTGTATCTGTGCAGCATTCAGTAGGTATCTTTAATATGCATGCAATGTATCTGCCACTCTGCTGCTCTGCCTTTCCGATTTACGATTTCGATTTCTCGAATCGTGTTTGAAAGTTTTGCACTCCTTTGCGTCGATTAGCATGGGAATTGCAATCGTCAGAGTCGTCTTCGGCCGAGGTGTTAATCAAGTAAAAGTTTTTGCCATTACATAAGCAAAGCCCCCATAAAAAAACCCCCAAAAATCCCAAAGGTGTTCCGCACTTGAGTGATAACTCATCAAACCATTGGCAGGAGCTTTAACAATTCCTTTGAACGGCTGATATCCCCTGCAGTTTCTGGTAAAGTCGGAAGTTTTGCCAGCCTTCGCTCCGCCCCCCGGGCATGGCATTAATTATGCAATCATCTAAGAGATATTTAAATAACAACAGACAGAGACACACACACTAAAAAAAAACCACAAACGAAAATGAAAATGAAATCAACTGGATAGCGTCCGGGGCCCCAATGAATAATTCAATTATTCAAGAATGAAGTTGAAGTTGAGCTCGCAGAACCCGTTTCTTTTTAGTGCGGGATCAAGAAGCGATCTTTACGGGCAATTAAAATGTGGCATCTCCTCTGACATGTTCAAGTATCTATGAGATAGGGCAAGGAGCTGGAGCTGGAGCTGGAGTCGTAGCCTCTTCCTGAAACTGGAAACAACTTTCAGCTGTGGTCCTACTCAAGGTTGTCGCTGCCCATGGCGCACTTCCCTCTGTCGGTAGACCCTCCAATTTCGTACACCGTTTAGCTCCCTGGCGAGACAGGAAATTGTTGCTACTTGGCCTGGACTAAATATTTACGACTCTTGGTCAGATTTGCGCTAATTGCGTACAAAATGCGCCAGCGAAAAAAATAGCGATATAAAAATGATTTCTCAGTTTTCTCAGGTTTTTGCAAAGATATTTTCCAGTTTTTTTTTTTTTTCATTGCTCCGTTTGGGCAATGCAACAACAAAACTTACCGGAAGCATTTTGGCGGCGTTTTGCTGCTGGTCGAGGTGGCAAGGCAGTGGCGCTCCTTTGCACTGATTGTTGCTGCTGTTGCTATTATTTCAGTGTTCAATTGTTGATGTAGTTTTACTTGGTCTTAGCCTGCTCTAGTTGTTGTCTAAGTAAAACGCGGCGGCGGCGACGGTACAAAAAAATAACGCTGCGATTAAGTTTGAGATTTTTGTTGTGTTTGAAAAATATTTGCTCAAAAAGTGGGCTAAATGCAGCTGCTGCTGCTGAGGCTGCTGCTGGGTGCATGTTTTTTTTTGTTTTATGCAATATGCAGAGATCTTGGCTATAGTATGCTCCACTGACCACAAAAGCCAGCAGCTACAGCAGCAGCAGCAGCAGCAAGAGATGAAGCCAGAAACGAGGCCGAAAGTAAAAACTGTTACACACGTCTGCGCATTCAGTTTTTCACTTTCGGCCAGGCGCGGCGGCGTCTCTTTTTGGCCACAAATCACACACATATACAATATATAACTAATATCCATAGAAATCTATACATCTAACTGCACATTTTCCACATTCACTCGTTGCACGCAAAAAATAAAGCAAAAAATTCGTATAAACTTTGGAGTACGTAAATGCACAAAATGCACATGGAAGGAAATTTGTTGATTTGTATGTTAATATGAATATTATTAGTATGCACGGCCAGAGGCAAGTTACCGCTAAGCCAACAATACCGTTCAAGAGTCGCCGTTGCACTGAATTCGTTTTGTGTGGCCAAAAAGCGTGGCCAACAGTACAGGCCTTAACAGAAGCCATCAAAAGCCACCAGCCAGTAACAGCAACAGCAACAGCAAGCAGCAGCAGACAACAGCAGCAGCAAAAGCAAGCAGCAGACAACGGTTAGCAGACAGAAACCAGAAACCAGAAAGCAAAAATGGCTTAGAGAGTGTTGAAGAAAGGGTTACCCTAGGTTAACCCATGGGAGGAAATACATCTGTACATATGTAGGTTTGATCCTTTCTATTCCTGCTACATGCAAAATAGTTTTGTGTTCATTTTTGTCAATTTTATAACAACGAATAATTGTATACATATGTATGTATGGTTTATGTGTTTGTGATTAGCGCATTAATTTCTAAGAAAAACAAACAAATAAAATAACTTACCGCACATTAACTCCAAAATTAAACAGTAATTATGTTTGCAAGTGTGAGTGTAAGTTTAATTTCCAAACCAATTCCAGTTGTATCCCTATTTCATTTGAATCCTTTCTCTTCACAGTGCTAGCCAAGCTTTTGGCCAAGTCTATACTACCTGCCTGTCACGGGGCACCAACGTACCGTATCGTAGCCATAACTTGGAGCTGCTCCCGTAACAGTGCGCAGCCGCAAAGCGGCACCTTGACAGCGTCTGTTAGGTGCACTGTTAAACTTTAACAGAGAGCCCCAATGCAGGGGAAAGCCTGTGCTGCTGTTGCTGCTGCTGCCTTGGTGGGGCTTTGGTGGAGGGCTGTTCATCAGAGAGATGGCTATAATGAAGTACTCGTTACACCTATAACGAACTTTAGCGGCAGGGCAGCCAAAACTGATCAATTATGGCCACACTTTTGCGGTTTCGGAGATTAACAGCACAGCATTTGGTCTCCATTCAACGCTTCAGTGGCGAATCGCCACTCGGAGAAATCGTTGCACAGATCATCGTCAAATTATCGCAAATTGAGCTAAAAGGGATTGTATAATACGGTGGGGCACGGGGACTTGTGATAGAAGTTCTGTCTCGAAAATTGAACATTTTTGGCAGAGAAAAGGAAAAATTAAAATTATCTGGGAATGTTAAAATCTAAGAAATAAAATTAAGTTAATTTCCATTTTGGTGTGGTGCAACTAGGTGCCTAAGTAGATATGTATATGTTATCTATGGTAAGGTATCTTAAAGAGTTAATTTTCATGAATTTCCATGTGCTTTAAAACAGTTTTTTCAGATTTCCTTGCCAAATTTCTACACTTTTTGCATTCTTATTATTTTGGCTAAAAGAAAACGTTTGAAATGAAAGTGAAAATTATATTTCAACCTTCTTTCGCACAGCCTCGAGCACAGTTTACAGATAATGCCAGCCCCCAGGGCATGTGCTTGTAGATGAAATGGTGGATCATCTGTGTGTGAGAGTTTTCAATATTGCAACAGGTGTTGGGGGAAGGGGAACCAACCAAGATGGGCTCTTAATGGGCTTAATTTGTTGTGCACCCAAACAACAAGAGTGGGGAACAGAAAGGGAGAGCGGAGATAGTGCCCAGTTTGTGTGTTAGTGTCTATTGGATATTTCAAATAAAAGCTCCAAAATAGGGTTTGGCCGGAACTCAAAATCAATTCAATATTCGAGTATGCACCAGCGACAGGGCTTAATAGTTTTGTGGTTGACCTTTGTTGAATGGTGATGGACTTCACTCCCCCTCTGTCTCTCTCACACCGTCTTGGAGCCGCAGACCTAAAGAGATTACATAATGAGCATTAAATGCTGTCATCGAAATGCCAACGGGGGGGCTGCCAAGAGGCGGCTCGAAATGAATTTCAAATATTTTATCAAGCGATTTGCTTATGTCCATTGTGGCCGTCCCCTTGCCTGTTGTCTGTTGTTACTCTGTAACTGTTATTGGTGTCTCTGGGTCTTTCTCCGCTGTGCCAGCAACAGCTTACCCATGTACACCCCTCGTGATTTACCCACCTCTTTTTCACTCTCTCTCTCTCTCTTTCTTCGGCATGCTTCAGCTTGCTGCTGTACAATTTTAATTTGGTTTTAATACCCTGTAAGCGTAGGGCCTGCAGGGTTGTCCCTGACTGAGACAGGCTAGGATTGTGTTAACTCTACATGCAGGCATGTAGTTTGCATGCTGGTATCGTCGGCATGTTAACAGTCAAATTGCAGTCCTTTCTCCACTCTTACTTTTTGTGCTTATGAGAATCGAGAAGGGCAGCATGAAGGTAACCCAGAGTCGACCCTTATCTATCCTTCTCTCTGTACACTTCATTTCGCTTTGCTTTGGTTTGGTTTCTCCAGTTTTTGGGGCCAATCAATCTCACATTTCGGATGCACACATCAAAACATGCGAATGGATGTGGCTTGAGCATGGGAAAGGATTGATGGGGCATGGAATGGGTGGACTATGGGTAGGACGATAATGATGTCGATAATCATGAGAATGACTCACGTCGGCTAGTGGCTGTTAAGTGCATCCGCTGCATGCAGGACCCCACCACTCTCCCCCTTCACAACCACTCCCAATTGCATGTATCTTTCCTGCTCATATGCATTCGGGGCACGTGTGGCACGCGGACAAGAGAACGGAACAGACTCGAAGGTGCCCCAGCTTCCGGTTGGATAAAGGAACGCTGGCAGGAGAGCGGGCAAAAGAGTGAGGGGAGTGCAGCAGGCACCGTTACGCTGCTGGAACACAACAAGAATGTAGCGCGCATTATGCGAGTGCAAGAAGGCGTGGGGGTGTTATTTAAAAATAAATTTTTACTAACATCTAAAATTTTTACGGGGGCTTAAAATGCTGGTATAATCTTTACACTTAACGCTGCAGGTATGCAGAGATTACATCGTTGAATTATCAAAACACAAAACAGAAATTAACATTCTTCCAGCAACTTTAAAAGTGTAAAAGTGTGCGTGCTCGCTTCTCTCGGTTGATTTCTTCCTGTAACAAATTCCATCGTAAAATCCCTGTAAAAAGATCCTTCCTTTAAATTGAGTGTCTCCTTTGAGTATTCCTTCGTTGCTTTAAAATATGTACTTTGTATTTTTTCTTTCTGACAATCCTTCTCGTAAAATATATATTCCCGTCAAGGATTTCTTCTTTAAACGTTACCTAAAAATTGTACTCGTCCTTTCCTTCCGAACTTTCCTCGGTTTCTTAAAACTGTATTCCTTCTTTGGCATTTCTATCTTTTGTGTATGTGTTGTAAATGTGTTTATCCTTCCTGCAACGAAGCCTCCTTTCACTCGTCAGGTAGCGTCAAGCAACTCCTTAAAAAACTAATGACTATTCATAGGCCAATGGCTCTATGAGGCAATTGAGGTCGTCGTACAATGACATCAATTCAAAATCCACATTACCCTCGCTGAATATCTGGAAGCAAATAGTCAAAATCCATGTTACCCTCGCTCAGGGTCAGGAAGCATGACTCTGGTATGTTTCTGAACAGGACGCCGAAGGGGTTGTATTTCTTGAGGCATTCAACGTCACCCAGGATGATCAGCTTATGTTTGGCTCGAGTGATGGCGACGGTGAGGCGGCGCTTATCCTCGAGAATCTCAGCGGTGCGGCAGCGCCCCTGCACCTGCTCCGGCTCGCGTCCGGTCCTGGTGCAGCTATAAATGATTATGCTTTTGTCGCGACCCTGATACTGATCCACAGTGTTGAACTCAACGCGTCTGTCCAGATTCTGGCCCAGCCGGCGCAACAGCTCCACTTGGGCGCGGTAGGGGGCGATAACACCGACGTTGGACAAGTCAAAGCCAGCAGACTTCAGCTGGATTAGTATATGCATCACAGCGCCCACCTCGCAAGTGTTGGTGTACGGGGAGGTGTTTTGCTTCTGGCAGCGCAAGGAGACGTCGCCGGTGTTTAACACCACGACGGCCATGTCCAGGTGTTTACTCAGCGCGCGACGCACCCACATGGGTGAGTCCCGAGGGAGATACACCGGAATACTGGCCTTGGCGACAGAATCGTTAGCGCACTCCAGGTCACCTTCGTAAGTGAGCAGATTGGCCAGACGGTTGATGGTGCTATTCATGCGGTACTGTACGGACAGCACGGCCGTGTTATCGGGCGAGTCGAGGCGATCAAAGAGCGACACGTCAGCGCCTCGACTGCGAGCCTCGCGCGACTTGACAATTGGCGGCAGCTGTTCTGGATCTCCGACCAGCACGAAGCGATGGCAGTGGAATAGCGGACGCAAAACGGTGGGCTCCAGCACCTGGGTGGCCTCGTCCACGATGCAAAAGTCAAATGTGCGCTTGCGGAAGATGGGGTGCCCCATGCCCAGGCAGGTGACGCCCACGATCGAGGGAGTTTCCAGGGCGTCGGCCAACTGATCAACAGTGCTACAGCGTCTGGCGACGCTCTCCTCGCTGATATCTTGCAGTTTCTTGGCTATGCGTGAGCTTTGGCCCAGCCGGATCATGGGCAGCCCGTACTCCATTAGACGACCCATCAGATTGTCCACCGCCGAGTGGGTGTGGGCTGTGATCAGGACGCTGAGCTTATGCATATGCAGCACACGCACCAGAGCGACCAGGGTCTGGGTCTTGCCGGTGCCAGGCAGACCCTTGATCAGAAAGTACGATTGGTTGTTAAAGCAGCGCAAAATGGCCTGCTGCTGCAGATTATTCAGATTCTTCAGAATATCGTGGCTCCTCTTGCGAATGTAATATGGCAAGCTGTGCGACGCCTCCTGCCGTTTCAAGGTCACAATGATGGAGCGTAGCTCCTTTGCTCGCTCTGTGGGGGCGAGCAGCAAGGCGAGGCTGGTGTAATTGAATGAGCTGAAGCTCGTCGAGTCGTGCTTGTCTACGGTGAAGGTCTCGTTCTCGTACTTCGGCTTGAGGTCCCGATCCAGGGCGACCGTCAGGCGGCGGCACTCTAACGAAACGACGTTCCCAGCGGCAACGGCCAGGCAAGAATCGGTGCTGACGATCACATACTCGCCCACATCGAACTGCAGAAGGAAGAAAGAAGAAGGGAGCGATTGCAAACATACACACCACGGTTTTCACTGTATCGTTAACAAGCCAAGCCAATGATCGAACTTACCCCACAGTGATAAATATTGATGTTGGGATCGACGCCGCGCGGCAGCTGCATGCTCTGCTCATAGCGGCCGCTGCATTTCAGTGCCAATTGGCCAGGATAGAGGCGCAGGTTGATAATGGCGCGTCCCTGCTTTTGGCGCGTGACGCGATCCTCCGTCCAGATGGTCGGCTGTTTAAAGGATTCGCGCGAGTGTTTGTCCTCGAGGGCCAGTACGCCGCACCAGCTGTGGAAGTACTTAATATCGTCATGGGTCAGGTGAGCCAGCAGTGTCGGCATCAGAGTCTTCATCGAATGCGAGTCGCCCAGACTCAGTTTGGCGTCTCGCTTGGCGTAGATGGCGCACACCGTATTGAACTGGCATGTCTGGCATGCGCTGTGGTGGCTAATGGGGCCCGGCAGGCAGAGGTCCTCGATGTCCTCCCACGTGTTTTTCGGAGCCGTTGGCTCTTTTACCAAATACTTGGCCAGCTCGTTGCGCATCATGATGAGGTCGCGCATCTCGTTGCGCTTGCCAGAAATCTCGCGCATCATGTTCTCGCGCAGGTAGAGCAGCAGACCGGAGCTCGTCTCGACGCCCATGGCCGAGTTCATCATCTGGTAGAGTATCAGCTGGCCCGTGTGCTCGATGGAGAAGGTGGAGCGGCCGGTCTTCAGCTCCAAAGGTATTGGATTTATGGACGCGTTCACGGACACCAACACATCCACCTTTCCCTTGAGTCCCAGCTGCGGCACCCACAGGTTTTCCTCAGTATTTTTGACCTCGTCAATGTGTCCGTGGAAATTCGTCGGGGTCGGCATTGTAGGGATTTGCCCGAGCAAGTACTGATTGACGAAGCGAACGATGGGATTGACGAACTTCTGCATATCCTCGGTTATCTCCTGATGGGTGATGCCGCCGGCATACAGGAACTGGCCATAGTAAGGATTCTGCAGCATGTACTTCAGGATGGTCAGCACACGGGATCGCGTGTAAATTGTATCGGTGAGCACACGTTGGAACAGTTCGTGCACCAGCGTGCCAACCACCATCTATGTGAAGGGGAGCGAGTGTCATGAATTCGATTGTGAAGATATTTTTTGCTGTTTTTACTGTGTACTCACCACACGGTTGTTCCACTGGAGGCCGCGGAAGCGCTCCTGCAGCACCGCCTTGCGTCGACAGAAGAGGGCGCCCGTGACGGTGGTGCCGGATATCAGAAAATCGGGATTGGTCACGCAGAAGCCGTGCTCCTTGTCGACCACGTAGACACTCTGCGAGGGCTGCCACTTGGCCAGCAGCGACACAATATCGCCCTGTTTGATGTCAGAAACATTCCACGGCGCGCGCACGTGACACTTGGCCGTCTGTGGCTCGTCGGACACCTCGGGACTCTTTTTGACCAGCAATTTGACGCTGGAAGACTCCGTGTCCATTTCGAGCTCCTCGATCACGCAGCGCTGCCAGGTGGACAGGTCCAGCTTGTGCGCGGACTCAGCCGCTTCAATTGCATCTAATTCGGCCAGCATATCAAAATCAAAATCGTCGTCGCCGCAATCGTATTCCACATCGCCGCCGCATTTGTTCTCCACATCGTCGCCGGTGTCCAAGTCGCTGTTAATTTTTACCTTCTTTGGCGGCCCTTGGTTGGGTGAGGTCGGTACGTTTTCCTTGCTGGGCGTTAGTACGCGCTTCGATGTCGGTGGCGGTGCCGACATTTTCGCCCGGGAATTTGTTCAATTACCTATTTTTCTTTTCCAAGCACCAAGCACGTCAGGCGGCGTCTAAAAAATTTTGGCGCAGATTTTCATATGACAGACGAAGGACAGCAGTGTAGCCGTGGATTTTTTGGGATTAAATATACCGACTGACCCTCAGAAATATACCAAAATATTCCTTCGTATTTTTACAATATAAAGAGTAAGGAAACGAACTTATCCCAATTAGCACCATTTATTTAAATACATGAACCATTCAGTATATCAGTGAAACTATTACAGTAAATATACCCTAAGCTCAATTTCTACACCAAAATATCCCGAATAGAGTATGGCAATGGCATGTGGCTAGTGATGTCAATTGTATCGCAAATATCGATACTTTTGTGCGATAAGCACAATGTATATTTTCCACGCAAAAATGTGCGCTGGTTATGGGTAGATGGAAAATATTTAAAAGTTATGCCACTATTATGCTAATGTTAATATTTTCTATTATGCTGATATTTAACTGTTCGTAACTGAAATTAATGTATTGAATTTGCTTTTAAAGTATCGATAAAGAGCACAGCAATTCAGCAGTTCAGCAATAGAAGGCAGTGTCATTGGAGTACAGATGAAATCCAACAGATGTCGCTCCCACTGGGCGGTTAATTTGAAAGAATTCACCAAGGCTGTTTTAATTTAAATAAATACCGTGAAATGCATTGCAATTGGACATAATCTAAGCTTAATCTGATGACTTTACATTGTTCACTTGCTTCTCAGGCAGAAAGTGCAGATGCTGATGCGTCTGCTGTGGCCTCCACCGCCACCGCCACCGCCACTTCCACCTCCACCACCACATCCAACGCCATCGTTTTCGTATTTATGCAGCAGACAAGGCTGAAAATCAGTTCCTGTGGTGGAAAAACAGAAGAGTCATCAGATGGAAATACAATTAGAGGGGAGGGTATGTTAGCTTTCGTACCTGTCTGCAGAGTGCTGCTCAGATGGGTGATGTAGCTGCTGGCCAGGCGGATAATCTCGATCTTCGAGAGCTTGCGGTTCATCGGCTCCGTGGGTATCATACTGCGCAGAGCTTCATACGCGGCATTAACACTGTTGTGGAAGGGGGCGGGAGAAGAAGGGGTTAGATCTGCTGTAGAGCTATGGTTGGGACTCCCTGGGACTTACTTGAAGGTCCTGTAGCGCTCTCTGGCATTGATCTTTTGCCTGGGTGGCCGCCTCCTGCGGCTGCCGCCTGGCTGCGAGTCCTCGGAGTCGCCGGGCCCTCCACTGCCACTCCCATCGCTGGGACTCTGACTCTGGCTGTGGCTGTGGCTGTCGTGGGTGAGCGCCGTGAGCAGATACGAGGCTGTTGCTGCTGATGAGATCGCCATCCGTTTGCCTCGCCGTTCGCTGACTGAATGTAGCACACATCAGCAACAGCAACAGCAACAGCAGCAGCAGCATCAGCAGCTCTGCCCCAGAATCACAGCCAATGCCGCGGCCTCCGCTTCAGCCGGACCATGGACTGGTCCGCTGGGCCTCTGCTAAATGAATTAAGTCATCGCCAAGTGACGACAAATTGTGCATGAAGAGACACACAACAATAACGAGAGCATTTCTTACCCACAGATCGCGCACTTGTCAAAACAAAGCCGCACACAGCTAGCTGGCTGCCTCCCATTCTTGCTCTCACTCTCACTCTCACTCTCCCTCTCGGCATCTACCCATCCCTTTTTCGCCGCACCGCACAAACGTGGCACTTGTACAATATTAATGGCGCATAGAGGGTCGGGTCCGTTCCGTTCCGTTCCGTTCCGTTCCGTTCCGTTTCAAGGATAAATACTCATCTTCATTTGTCCATCGATAATTTGTTTAGCCACTTTATTTGTTGTTTTTGTGTGCGGCCTGCGGCCTGCTGCCTGCAAAACGGAAGTTCTTGCCCCCGTGGAAGACCACACATGCCACGCATGCGTTCAAGTGCGGCATGCGTTGCCTCTCTCCCATCCTCATTCCCTATCTATCTCTTAGTAAGTCGTTCAATCAGTCTGCTGAGCACTCAGTCAGTTCCATGGAATGTTGCCCGAGGCAATAATTAATATTACAACATTCAAATTAGTTCAAAAACATATTCCAATTTAATATTAAGAATCATTTCATTTATATTTTATACACATTGTTCGAAACATTCACTTAGGTAGCTAAAAAAAAATCATAATGAGAAACAAAAACACAATTCGCTTAGGATTAGGGAGGCGTATGAACAAATCCAGTTTGGGGTTCGTGGCTCGGGAAGGACACAAAAAATGGGTCGTGGCATATATAGATAGATATAGATTGTATTGCAAGCTCGATCAATCGATTGAACATAAACATAATAAACAAACAAAACATATATATCTGCAGATGGATGGATAAAATATTATAAGATCGAGTATATTGTTCTGCTTAGGGGCTGTGGACACTTGATGTGTGTGTGTTTTCCTCATCTGCAACCTGCGCTCCGCTCCTTCTTCCGTTATGATAGTTCGTTCTCTTCATATTTCGTTTTCGTTTAAAATAATTAAAAATAATAGTAAATAAAACACCACAGTCATGATTTTTAATAGAACACAAAATATACACAAAGATTGTAGTGGGGACGACGACGATGGATCATGTAGGTCATGTGGAGGGGGTGTACAAATTAAGGAAAATCTCGTGCAAAAGGGTCAGGGAATATGTTGTGAAAAACTTGCAAATAGCAAAAATATATTTACAAAAGCCAAAGACAAGACAACAATAAAAAGACAGCACTAGGAGGAGGGGCTTCAGGTGTTTCTTCTTTCTTTCGTTTTTTCTTTTTTCCATATACACATATTTATCTTTATATAATCATTTTTGCATGTTTTGTTTGCTTCATTTTGTTGTTAATTTGCTTTGTTTTATTTATTAAAGAATATAAATAAATTTCTTCATTTGATTTTCAGCATTTCTTTTCTTCTCTTTTCCGTGTCTCTTTTTCTTTTTCTTTTTCTTTTTTTTTTCTTTTGCTATATTTTGTTATTAAAATTGTTGCTAAAACGTTTTAAGAAAAAAATGTACATTGCCAGAAGGTTTTTGTTGTTGCTTGTTTTTCTTTCTCTTCCTTTCTTTCTTTGTATCAAATGAGTGGCGCATGTGTGTGAGAGAGTGAGAGAGTGAGAGACAGGCAGAGTGGTCGGGGGAAATGGAATGGGTTGTGGCTGTTGCTGGGACGTGGGAGAGACAGTGTGTGATCTGCTGCTGCATTTGACTCTGCACAGTTGTGAGTGTGACTTGACTAAATCGGGCGAGGGCGAGGGCGTGGCCAGTGCTGGTATGGAGCCAAGACCAAGGCCGGGAAACTGCATTCCTCGGCTCTTAGATCAGTGCCGTTATCAGCTTGGCCTTGAAGTTCACGAACTTCTCGCTGGTGGCGGCCACGCGCTGCAAAAAGGAAAGAGGAACACGATTAGAAATCAATTTCTTTGCTAAGAAATCGAAGTTATCGACTCAGGTTTTGCTTACCAGTATTAAATCCTGCACCAGATTGGCCAGACCACGATTGGCCAGCACGACCAGGCGCGTCACGGGGCCGGGAATGCCCTCGGTGTAGCCATCGGCATTACGGGTGCTGTCCCCGTCCGTGTCATCGGAGCCGAGGCTGCCACCGCCGCCGCTGCTGCTGCTGGTGCCGCCGCCCACGGAGTTGGCGGCCTCATCGCCCTGCTGGGTCTGGACGCTGCCCGAGAAGAGCTAAACACATGCAGGATGTTGGATAATGGATGGATGAGTTCGGGTTAACCGACTGGATAAGGGGCCAGCAGACTCACCCGCACTACATCGAGCAGGAAATTGCCTGAGCCGCCGGCTCCGAGGCTATTGCCGCTGGGCGAGCCACCGGCACCGTTGCCGCTGGACCCACCGGCCAGACCCGCACCGCCGAAATTGAGGAACCTTTTGAACAGATTACTATTTGGTGGGTGGGTGCATTCAATCCATTTTTGTGGTTTTGTCATGCGTGTGGTTTTTTTGTTTGTTTGGTTGGTTTTGTTTGTGGGGGTGTGTGGGGGGGGGGGGGGGGGGGGGGAGGGTAGGAAAGTGTAAGATTAGTTTAGTGTCTTGGGTGGAATTTTCATTTGAGTTTTCACTAAAAAGTTAATGCCATCGATAGACGGAAAGATCGCTAATCGCTGAATTGATCAAGCAGCTCCATCGATAAGTGATGTAATGTTTTGGGTTTGCGTGGCTGTCGTGTGACTCCTGTACCGATTGCAGACTGACTCGGAGCACTTACCTCTTGTTGCGGTCATCCAGCTCGGCCGTCTCCTCAGCAGAGTCGAGGGTCAGCTCATCGATGGCCGGCGACTTGGACTCCGACTGCTGCAGATCATTGGTGCTCAGTGCCTTGACATCGCTGAGGCTGGCTGTGGGCGAGGATGTGCCACTGGATGTGCTGTGCGTGGGCAGCTCATTGTTGAAGCTCAGCTGAATGGGTTCGTTGGACTTGAGGGGAATGGGCGCCTGGGCAACGGGCGAAGACTGGGAGGCCGCGGCGGCCGCCTCTGCCTCCTTGACCTGGCGTGCCACGCGAATGGTCTCCTCGAGCTGTTTGTTAATCGCCGACAGATCGATTTGTGTATCGGTGGCGCCGTTCTGTGTGTTATCGGGGGGATTGCAGGTGGCAGTTTGCAAGTTGCAAGTTGCAGGTTGCCGGTTGCAGGTGGCGGGTTGTGGCATATTTTCGGGTACGGGGTTCGAATTCGGGATTGTCATTTGTATGTTTTTTTTTTATGGTTGTTCGTTTTTGTGGTGATTTTTAAAAATTTCGAAATTTTTGCGTTGATTTTGTGTGGGAGGTTGTGGGTTGGGCAACAGGCAGCGGGAGGCCAAAAGGGTGTGTGGGATAAAGCATAGGATTCGGCGCAGTGTGGTGTGTTTTGTGTCAAGTGTGGTGGCGTGTGGTGTGTGTTTGGTGTGTGTTGAGTATCATCCAACGTGTGTGTTTGTGTGTGGTGTAATTGGCGTGAGTTAAGTTTGATGTGCGGTTAGGTTGAGGTAGAGATGGGAGACATGTTATGGCATGTTGCACAATCGATTTGTTTGGTTGATCGATTCATTTTTAGTGTGTAAATGAGTGGAAATCAATGCACGTGCACAAATGCGTTTTGATGTATTTTTGTATACATTTCGGTTGCAGTTTTCGTTTTTGGTTTCGTTTCAATTGTTGTTTGATTGTCGAATGATTTGCGGTTATCGGTTGTCAGTTATCGGTTATCAGTTATCAGTAATCAGTTGATCGTTTGATTATTTTTTTGATTTTGTTTTGGTTGGTTTTTTGTGAGTTATTGATATTGCACAAATCGAATTGGGTTTTAATGGAACATGAAAATAAAGAGAAAAAGATACAAAAATAAGCAAAAGACGAAAAACAAAAGTGGCGTAGATTGGATTTGGATTGGAGTGGAGTAGGAAAGCCGATAGATTAAGCAACGATGTGGCGCCAAGCCAGAACAAGGACTCTTCCTTGATCGAACGAACGAAAGGAAAATTCATAATCGGATTGGATTGCCTCTGAGCTCGAGCGGAGAATTATCTACTCTGAATAACTACTGGAGGATTGGAAATTCTGCTTTTGTTTTTTGCTTCTTTGTTCTTGAGCGGCAGAAGGGCGAATGCAGGAGGCGACGGCACACGTGTATGAGTGCAGGAATGAGTAAATGCACGGGCTTAGATCGCTTTTGTGGATGCTTTGGATGTGCGCAACGATTTGGGTGAGAAGTCAGGCGGATATGAATGAGGATACTCATGAGTATGAGGATTGATCACCCAACAAAAAAAAAAGAGAACAGAGTGTGACTCGTTTCGATGCGTGACTTTTTTCCCACATAATGTAATGGGTTTCGCCGTCTGTCTGGGCACCAAAAGTGTGAATGAAATATATATAGAGAGAGTGGTAGAGAGTGGGATATATCGGGAGCGAATATGTTTTCAATAGCAAAAGTCATACGAGGGGTAAACATTAATTCGGTATATTTGGAAATGTATTAAAAAGTGTCTTACACAACTTATACAATATAAATGTAAAATATAATTCTTGTAAAAAACACCTACTAGCCTAGGGACGAGTGAATGACGGAGGGAGACAGTGCGCATGAGGGGTAGAGGTACAGAGAGAGAGAGATAGAGAGGGAAAGGGAAAGGTGCTGTGTGAAGGCAGCGGAGAGAACAGTGAAGAGAGGCAGATGTAGTACAGTCAGAGAGAGTGAGAGAGCAGCGACAGACAGTGAAGGAGAGAGACAGAGTGTGTGTGCTGAAAACCAGTGTTGTAAAAGTAATTTCAAAACAATTTCGTGTTGCTTAACAATGCCAATTTCATTTCATTTCTTTTCATTTTCATTTTAAAATAATTTCAATTCAAATTTCGTTTCTGTTGGGCGCTGCTCTTGTTGTTGATGGTGTCACATGTGCCTGTGCCTGTGGCTGTGTTGATTGTTGTTCTTGTAGTGTTGAGAAATATTCTTTAAATCGCTGCACAGGGAAAAAATTTAATAGATAGAAAAACCAATTTAAGTGCCATTTCTTTAGGGGTTGTCTCAAAGTTGTTGTAGCAAATGGAACGCACATTTTTTTTTTGTTGTCGTTTGTTTTGTGACTTTACAGCGTGTCAGCAGACTCGGTGGTGGTCGAGGTGATGGTGCTGCTGCTGCTGCTGCTGCTATTGTCCACCGCATCGATCTCGTTGTCATCGTCGGGCTCGAAGGTTGGCAGCTCGATGGTCACACGGGTGCCACTCGAGTCGCTGGGGGGGCTGGAGCTGGAGCTGGAGCTGCTGAGGCTGCTGTCACTCTTGCTGCTCTCATCATCGTCGTCGTCAAAGTCCGCATCGAAGCTGGTGCGTGCCGCATTGGCGCTATTGCCCTGGATGGCCGTACGTAGCACCGTGGGTCCCAATGTACGCAGCAGCTTGGAGATTATGCGGTTCGCTTGCTCATCGATTTGCTACAACAACCAGGAATCGATTGTGGATTGCCGATTGTAGATTGCAAATTGCAGATTCGGTGTGCGTGTGTTTGTGTGTGTGTTGCAGGTGCAAGTGGCAGGGACGATTGTTGGTAGATTAGTTTACTTGACTGTGATTACATACATGTGGGGTGGGAAGGGAGGGTTTTGAGGGTGGTGCGTGGGTGTGGTCAGGGGTCAGGGCTACTGAAAGGAACTTGCAACTTGTTGGGTCTCTAAGGGATATCAACGTTAAGATTGCGTCATAAATGTGATGGGCTGTGGCGTGAGTTCTACAGGGTAGGATATCCAATGTGGTGAGAGTGATGTAAAGTGATTGAACTGAAGTTGCCTGAGAAACGATTCAACAAGTGACTGGGCCACCCACCATTAGGTGTTCTACAGGTCGATGCCAGCATGTGGTTCATAGCTGGTGCAAGGAGAGAGGAGCTTTGAAGTTCCTTACTGCACCAACGAACCATGTCGCACCACTGTTGAACCGTTTCGCGTTTCAATCAAAATGCTGAGTGGATTTTTATGTGGAAATGTTTTTCAGATGGCTTTTCCTTCTTCTTCTGTGGAATGTTGCTGTATATTTGTTTCTATTTTCTGTTGGAGTAGATGTTGTTGTTGTTGTTGTTGTTTTTCTGGTTGTTGTTGTTGTTGTGTTGGTTGTTGCTTTGATATCCTTAGCATTTGTTTTCAGATCAATCAAATACTGGCAATAATTTCGTTATGTTGCCCGTTGTTGTTGTTGTTGTTGGTGCAAGGGTGGTTGTTGTTGTTGTTGTTGTTAGATTATCTCTGGTTGTAATAAAATAATTGGTAGAATTTAATAAACGATTGATATCAGCGATGATGGTTAGCAGTTGTGGGTCATCGATGCTATTGTCGGTGGGAATCTGGATGGTGGTTTTGGTAGGTACTGGAGGGGGATTTTCAGTAGTAGTGGTGGTTGAGGTGGTTGAGGTGGTTGAAGTGGTTGAAGTGCTTGAGGTGGTGGTTGTTGCAGGCGTTGTTGTTGTAGTTGTTGTTGTTGAATCTGGCTCCAGGGAGCGCGGCAACAACTGGCTTGGTCCTGGCTCCACATTGCTCTCGGTGTTGGTGATGATTGAGGTGGTGGTTGAGGAGTTGGGACTGGGACTGGGACTGTATGAAGATGCTACTACACTGGGTAAGCTATCACCTTTAGTTGTCGCCGCTGTCGTCGTCGTCTCTGGCTCAAATGTTGGCAAGTCGATCTTCACCCGCGAGCTGTCGTCGCTCCCATTCAGCTCATTGGTGGCTACGGCTGCAGCACCACCTGTGCTGCTGCTGCTGCTGCTGCTGCTGCTCGGTGCCACATCGTCATCCTCATCGAAATCGGCATCGAAATCCGCATCAAAATCGCTGGCTGGCGTCGTACTGCGTCCGCCTGCACCACCGGCACCGCCACGATTGCCGGCCAGTATGCTGGTGAGCAGGCCGGGCCCGGCCACACGTATCACCTGGGCTATAATACGATTGACTATCGAGTCGATTTCCTATCGAGAGAGCACAAGAAAATATGCAACAAAACGTGACAACAACACTAAACACACTGAGAGCTGTGAGAGCTGCGAGAGCTGAGCCCTGAGCTGCCACTTCAAGACTCTTGTGGTTGGTGGATGATTCTTTGGTGGTTTTGGTGCTTCCACATGAGATGCTGATGCTGATACGGATGCTGATCTTGATTGTTGGTGTCTCTGGTTTGATTGTTTGCTGATTTGCTGATTTATTCATTGATGATGATCTTTGGCCAATAGTTTTTGGAATGATTTTTGGTTGGTTTTTTCTTTTTAGCTGAAAACTCAATATGAGATTCGTGTTGCGGGGCTGGTGTGGATTGTGTTTGTGGTTTTGTGTCTGTTTTTACTTGGTTGGATCTACTGGGGTGGTGTGGGTGCTGGGCATGCGGAGAGGAATTGGAGGACATGCAACGGGTTGTCGAAGGGATCCACTAATAAATAAATCCCATATCAAAATGTTGCCAATAAGAGTGGGTAACCGGTAAGCTATAGCCACATATACGCATACATATATGTGTGTGTGTGTGTGTATATTCAGGTTAGATTCAAATTTTTGGCTCCTTGGTCTGGCCCGCGAACTCCCGATCGGGCTCGAACTGTGTCAACTCCTCGGGCAGGCTCTCATAGTCCTTATCGCTGGACGGTCTCGGATCTTTCGGCCCATCCACATCCGCATTCGCATTCGCATCCTCGTCCTCATCCTCATCCTCGTCTGAGGGTCTCTGGCTGTGCTGCCCATCGAACAGTGGATTGAGTGCCGTACCGAGGACAATGGGACCGACGCGTGACAGCACATTATTGACTAGACGATTGATTTGCATATTGATCTCCTACACGGAACACATTTGCATCGCATTTCAAAACACACATTTCATTAAGATAAGGCTGTGACTGATTGGGTGATTGATTGATTGATTGATTGAGTGATTGGCTAGCCCTAGCTCTAGTCTGGGTGTGGATCTGGGTCTGGGCAGGAACAGAGTCAAGTGTCTGAGAGTGGGGTTGGGTGGGTGATGTCAAACGGAGATAGAGAGAGAGAGAGAGAGAGATCGAGAAAGGGGGTCTTGGGGCGTAGGCAGGGGCAGGGGCAGGGGAGGTTCGATATATATATTTATATATATGTTTATATAGTAGTTCGATTCATACCTTGGTTATATCCGGAAACAGTTCACGCAGCAATCCAATTGTTCTTTTATTGCGATCGGCTATCAATTGTTCTTGATCTTTGGCGCCCAATGTCAAGACATCGATTTCCTGCAAAAACAAAACAAAAGAAAACAAAACAAAACAATGAAAAATAAGCCAAGAAACAAACTGTTAGAGTCAGTGTCTGTGTGTCTGTTACATAAGCTGACAGAGTCAAAGAAAGAAAATTAAAAACAGAAAACAGAAGACAAAAAAATTGCCCCCAAAAAAACTTTCACTTTAGACAATGAGATTCGCCTTTGGCTCAGTGACTCTCCAACCCCAGCCACAGCCACAACCCCAGCCCACCCCCCTGTCATTTGTGCAATCAAGTTTCAAGTGTAAATTGTAATTTGTAAGTTGTCTGTGGTTGTCTCTTGTCTCTGCCATCCTTTCCCTTTTGTGGCCCTGCATCACATTCTGCACCACATTGAGCCACTAAGTGGGTGGCTCTTGGTGGCACAGGGCCATCAGCTACAGCCACACAGCCACACAGCGAAATGACTTTACACAAAAACGTTGTTAACATTAATGGGCTATGCGGAGCTCGAGCTTTGAAAATATTGCACAATAAATTTTGAAAATTGCATTAAAATTGCATTTTGTGGGTGGGTGGAATGAATGAATCACGGCATAAATGGGTGGGTGGATAGGTTGAGATGGCAGCAGCAACTTACTTGGACAATCAACAGCACGAGTCACTAAACATGCAACAGCAGCAACAGCAGCAACTTCTTAGTCGCAGCAATTGTCAAGGTGCCACGAGCGATGTGCCCAAGCAGCACAATCTAATAATATACCATCAACACTTGAACAATTGGAAAAGTTTCTGCCACTCGCCTCCCCCCTCTGCCCAGGCTGTGGCAGGGGTTAGAGGTGTCCATTTAAATATCGGACAATGCAAAAAGATAAAACCCACTCAAAGTTTTCTATACCCTAAGCAGAGACTAGCAGCCTTGCCTTTTGATAATTGACTTTTTCCAACTTTCAGGGAAACTTGTGGCAGTGGAGAATCGAACTACTGCGGAGAATGTATTGTGTTTATCTATCTATAAGATAAAATATATTTCATTGAATCTACAATTAATATGTATCGCTGCTGCATACAATGTGCCCCATTGTTGACACTATTTCCATTGTATTTTGTATGAATAAATCATTTGATTGAAGTTATTTCAGTTTGTTTGTTGCCTGCAACTAATCTTTGAGCTGAGCCAAAGCTCAACTTGTTGGCCATATTGTTGTTGGCAGTGTATTGAAATGAAATTGTCACGTTTTTCAGCTGGTAAAACTTGGAGAATGCTTTGCGCAGCTACTTAAAGGTAAAATATATGAAGCGGAATGGCCTCAGTGGCAGTGGCACCCCCAAGCCCTAGTCCCAGTCTCAGTCTCAGTCCAAGTCATTCTCGTGGCTGCTGCTGCTGCTCCTCCTGCTGTTGCAGCGCCTGATGTTGCCACTGTGCTGTGCCTTTGCAGTGTTTAATTGACTCAAAAGTCGCTGCGGAAGTAGACTTTTACACGCGGGGCGGAAGTCAGCAACGAAGATGATTACGATGATGATGATGGGGCGGAGACATGGCATAAAGTAAACTTTTGATAGTTTGGCCAACAAACTGTTGCCACTTGCTACTGTTGCCAGCTGGCAGTGTCTCTTTCTCTCTCTATTCATCATATTTTAAGCTGCCTGTCAGTGTCAGTTTAGTGCGACAATTGTTTGGATAGCGACACACAGACAGAAAGACAGACAGACAGACAGACAGACAGAAAGTACTTGAGGCAAAAGTTGCCATTTTTATGGGACATCTTAATGAATTTCAAATGAGTTCAGGTCCAGGCAAACGTCATTAAAGCGAATGCTGTGAATTTTAAGCAGCTGCCCCAAGCAGCCCAAGTATGTTGGGAATTCGTAAGACAAAATGCGGAAGAGGCCAGCGCGTAGGCTTCAGGTATGTACATACATAGGTGTACCTATGTATACATTTACCTACATATTTCTTTATATAATCGCAGTAGTAACGCATGGACTCTGAACTGGGCTAGCTTCAGGCGCCCACTAATCGATTCGCAGCCTAGCAAAAGCGATAAACGTTTTTAAATACAGCCAAGACAGAGACACAGACAGACAGGCCATATCAATTGCCTTTGCCTTGACCTTAACCAACTTAAGGCAACTCGAAAACGCCACAAATAACTGTCAGACATATGTACATACATATATACATAATACATTTACATACATAGATGTATATGTAGTTTTATGTACATGTATATGTAGCTGTCTTTATATGGCTGGTTTATGCAAAGAAACCCCCAAAGCAGCAATCAACGGCGAATAGCTGGCAAAGTGGAGCCGATAACTGGCTTCGATAAGCGACGCATAAATTAGCAATGCAAAAAAAAAAAACACAAAAAAAAACATAAAATATTTTTTAAAACAAATTATGGAAGATTTCAACAGGGGAAATATAATAAAATAAATATTGTTAACCAAAAAGAACAATTTAAGCAAGAGAAGTTTGAAGTTGAAAAAGTGCACAACACTGTTATTTGGGTCTTAGGCAACACTGTTAAATTCTTAGGGAAATGAAAGTGAAAACTAAAATGTTTTTGGCAAAAGAGAATATGTTAAGCAACATAATTTTTAAGTTGACAAACTTCCTCCCAACACTGTTTTTGGGGTATTGGCCAACACTGCATAAATGCCAACACTGCGCCCCGCCGTGCACACTCCACGCCCCACCAACTGAGGCCATCAATTATCAATTTAATTGCAAATTGCGACCCCCTCAGAGTGCGTGTCATGATCAAAGTGGATTCATCCAACTATTTCTATATCTAAATCTATCTGCGGGCCACGCCCATTGCTGGCTGGCTAATCCATTGAGGGGGGGGAGGGGAGGCGCTGCTCGAAATGCTTGAGCCACTTGCCAGCCGGCCAGTTTAAGGCCTTGCTCAAGCGCAGCTAATAAAAAATACGCGACACAATTCAATTAAATTGGAAAAAAAAACAAAAATGATTAAAACTGGAATTTGAAAATGAATAAATCAAATCGAGCCCAAGCCTAGAGGCAGTGGATAATGCCCCGGAGCCAAGAGTTTGCCAATAGTCCAAGAAAACATGTAGCTGGTGGGTTTTTGGTGGGTCCTTATGCCATGTTGAGGATCAGGAAGCAACATTCCTGCAGCCTGCTCAATTCTGCTGCCACATCTGCCATAAGAATGATGCAAGTGCCAGTGGCAGATTCGCAGATCAAATCGAAGCTTTTTGCATGCATTTTTCGTTGACTCAAGTCTCGTTTGGCAGTTAACAAAAATGCAGCTACCAACAAATTGGCTACTTAGAGAGAGAGAGAGAGAGAGAGCCACAAGCAACTCCCCTCCACCCTGCAGTCACAAATTGCGATTGTCGCACAATGCGGCGGCATATGCGTGATGTGTGTGCAACAAAAGGCAGGGGCAGGGGCAGGGGCAGGGGCAGGCAGTGCCTAAGCTTACATAAGCGGAAAGGCAGGGAACGAGGAACGACACTTGCACTTGGCAAGGAATCCAAAACTGCCATCATTTGTGGGTGCAAAACCAAAGCGAAGCTGACAAAGAGACTGCGAGACGCCAGACACAAAAGGAAGAGCAATGTTAGTGGAGGGGATTGTAGATCAAATATTAGGGATACCCCTTACAGCTGCTGAGGGATATCTGCTGCATATCTATGGCAAAAAGTGCTCAAAGGATTTGCCATTGTTGGCTGAACTACAACTGCCCCTCAGGCTATGACAGGGTATTCGTTGTGTGCCCCACGGGGGAAGCGACAATCGACAATCGACAACGGACCGGTTGTTGTTATGTCATTTGCTGCCACGTGCTGCGGCGGAAAAATGGCAAGAGACAGTCAGTCGAAGACAAATAGACAGACACACAGAAGGAGAGACCAAACAAAAAAGCAAACGGCTCGACGAGTACGAGTACGCGGCCACAATGGAGTTATCATTGCAGTTGACAACTGCGCTGCAGTTCCATGGAAAAATAAGAGGAAAATTGTCGTATGCCACTTAGGGGTTTCAGGGGGACGGGCGCGTGGAGCTTGGCGGTTCAATCATCATTGTCAGCCTCTCGTTAAATGATTTATGGCGCAAGGCATGTCAACACGCCGCAGAGATGAAGCGCCCCCAAACAATGATGAAGAGCAGCAGATGGCATAGCATGTCGTGTGGGTTATAGTTAACTAATATTGCATACACTTATACCTACGATGGGTAAGTATGTGTATATCTATCGGCATCATTATCGTATCATCGTTTTGTGGGCTAAATTTTGACCTAGTTTGCCGTTTACAGCCACAGCCACAGCCAGAGCCACAGCCAAATTGGGCAATGACAAAACTTTGTTGAATATTTTGTTGGTCATTTTTGGTGGGCCCTAAGTAGATGATATTTCCAAATGCGTGGGCCCTGGATGCACTTAAATGTATTCATGATATCACAATGCCCCAAAATTGCTGCAACAATTTGAGCAATCAAAACCCAAAAGGAAGCTGCCATCGAGTAGGTGTAGGAAGTGTATCTCCGCAGCTGTCCTTTGTGCTTAAAGTTGTCTTCAGAAATACATCACAAATAATGATTAAAATATTTGACAAATCAAGCGGCGGGACTGGCACACAGCCAAAGAGACAGCCATAGCCACAGCCACAGTCATTTGTGCAAATTTGTTGCACAAAGTGAAAGCCATAAATTGACATAAAACAATGTTAAAACGCAGAGCGAATAGCTTTTTGGGTAACAAATTAGCAAAGATGGAGGGTCTGTGGCAGGGGACTGCAGCTGCAGAGTGTTAATTGCCAGCCACAATGATCCATGATCCATGGAGGCTTTGGACGACGATGATCGAATGCGGACAATGCGCACGAAGCTGAGGCCCCCAAACTGAAAATGAAATGGAAAATGAAATTGAAATTGTTTTCGGGGGACTGCGGCTGGCACTGGGAATTGTCTTGGCTGGCAATTAAGTAATAAAATAACAGAGCCGACTGCAGAGCTTGCCCAACACTCGAACACTCGGAGCGGGTAAGCCAAAAGTCCGGTTTGAACAGGCCAACACCCAGGCGCCCCACACCCGACAACAACAGCAGCAGTAGCCAACCAACTAGCCAAGTAGCCAACTAGCCAAGTGGCAGCAGCTGAGACTATAGACTGGCCAAGGAAACAGGTAACAAGTGTGCCAACTTCCTTGGAACTGGTTCGATCTTTGGTTCGTTGGTTCGTTGGTCGTTCGAGCTGGTCACGCAGGTCCGACGGGGGCCCAGAGACCCCAAGACCTGCATATGCCAAAAAGTAAAAGGAAGTTTTTTTTTTGCGTTTTTGTTGCTTTACCCAAACACGTCGGGCATGGCCCGCTCTCTGCAGCGAGCCACGACGATCTCTGTCTCATCCAAGTGCAAATTTGTCAAGCAAATATGGTCGAAAGGGCAGCAGCAGCACGCGCTGCTCTCTCAGCGAGGTGCGGCATAAAAGCTTATCGATAATAATAATAATAACTAAAGCTAAGAGGAACACCTCGCGTCACACCTGTGACTGCCTTAGCTACCCTCGTTGGTTGCACTTACCTTGCCATTGGCCAGTGGTATCTGCAGCACATCCAGTTCCTGGTTGCCCGCTGGCTGCGGCTGCGGCTGCGGCACGGGTACGGCGCTGATCAGGCAAACGGCGCTGCAAAGGGCCAGCGCCAGAATTTGCTGTCTGCTTGGCTGCCTCATGGCTCTGCGAGTATGAGTGTCTCTGTGTGTCTGTGTGTGTGCGCTGGAAAGAGAGGTGAACAGAGTGGCATATTAATTAATGAGATTCACACACACACAGAGAGAGAGGCTCAGATACACAGCAGCCACACGCTGGACGGACGGACAATCGATAAAGGTCGTCGCATTGACCTTCACATGATGCGGCAGTTTTTTTGTGTTTAAACACCAAAAAAAACACCGATGTCAATGTGATCAACGTTCAAACGAAATTAAAGCCAAAAACTCGTGTTTGATGTTCGGCTGTTCGGTCTCGTCTTGTCCAAGGTCCCTGCCGGATATGCGGATGCTAACGCCAACTGTCAATAGACGCAGACGTGTCGCGGCATGTGTTGGTTTTGGTCAAGTTTAAATATTGGACATTTCTTGGGCAACACGGCGTATGAGTAATGCCGCATGCAGTCTGTGGAAATGGCAGCAACAACAGCAACAGCAACAGCGACAGCAACAACGAGTAATTTACTTGTTTAAATCACAACAGAAAGCGCGGCAATCAGAATTATGTAATTATACAGCAAAACGCTGTGGCTGTGTAGCTGTAGCTGTGCGCATTTGTGTAAGAAATTGAATGAGGCTCGAAGCAGAGAGGCACAGAGAAAACGGGAGAGAGCGACTAGTGCTAGTGCGAAAACACACACAGAAAATTGTGAGAAAATGCATTAAAAACGCCTCAAGTTGTGACTCCAATTGAAGGGTTAGAGGCGGCTTGGGTGCCGGTGCCGGGTCGCAGCTCAATTTCGTTGGTCAACAGAGCCCCACCCCACTCCGCAGCTGAATCACACTGATGTGTAGACTTAATGACAATCTTTTATTGGAGGTGAAACTAGGTACAGTGTGGGATAAACCGCTAATTAGAACTGCCTGCTTGCACTTTGGATATACATATATTCGAGTGCTCGTCTGGATGATGGCAAGGGCCCAAAGGCACAAAGGTTAACTGCGCATTCGACTGACAAAACGTGGAAAATTGTTGAGGCATGGCAGGTGCCAAAGATGGGACATCCAGCTAGGCATTATGTGCAACAAACAACGGCAGAACTATGGAAAGACCCAAGCTCAAGTTCAAAACTACACACAAGTGGCATAAAGTTAGCCCGTCTAAAGGCTTTTGTTTCAAAACTATTTTAAGAACTTCAATAACTATTTTTTGAGCTCTACAAATTGTACTACTTTATATTTGTAATTAATTTCTTGAGTCTTATAAATGAATTTATTTTTTGAGCTTTACGAAGTTTAACTATTCATTTTTTAGGTTGCAGAATGCGTTGGTTTGAGCTTAACAAATTCATTTAGGAAATTTAATACTTTACTTTTTCTGTAAAAATGAATTTTTGAGAGTTTTAAGAACTTAAATGATTATGGTTTATGGTATAAAATATATTTGCTTGAACTGAACTTGAACGTCTTTTGTGGTAGACTTTCTCGCTGCCAATTAATCAGAGAGTCGGACAAGGGGTTGCAAGGACTGGAGAAGGTGTGTGGCAGAGGGTACCAGAACCAATTTTGTTCGCCAGTTTGCTGTAATGGCAACATGCAACATGTTGATGATGGTCAAAACAGAGAGAGAGAGAGAGAAAGACGTGGTTAGGCTTAACATGCCTCAAAGACTGTCTAAGTAGGGCGTAAGCGTCAAAAGCAGGCAGCACAGCGAGAGAAAGAAAGATGGCAAGAAAGAGCTGTATAAAGTGTTAAGCAGAGAGGGAGAGAGGGAGAGTGGGAGAGGTATACCCAAAACCGGCAACAACAGCGCCACAAAGTTATGTCATCTGCCAACTTTTGCTTTTACTTTCAGGCTGCTCTCCGTCCCTCAATCTCCCTCTCTCTGTCTTTCGCTCTCATGCGTTTGGGGTTTTTGATGGTTTGTTAATTTATGCTCTTTTGGTGCTTTTGTTTTTATGATCCATTTGCTTCTAACAATTGTCCACAGGTGATCAGCAATCACCGATCACTTCACACAGCGATCACTTCAACGTGACTGGACATATATTCGTTTTGCTGTTACATTTCGTTTGCTCTTTGCATATGTACGTACACTTATGTAGTTTTGCTTTTGCTTTGGCTTTGGCTTTGGCTTTTGCTTTTTGGTTTTTTTATGATTGCACAAAATTTTGCCATAACAACAACAAAAGAAAAATCAGTAAAAATCATTAAAAAACCAGGCAAATGTGGCATTGAGTGCCATGCAGCTACATGGACATGTCGCAATTAAAAAGCCAAAAAAGAAAAGATTGAAACCCAGCAAAAGGAAAAGAAATAGAAGCTGAAACTGTAATGAACAGTGCTGAAAGATGTTTGGGTTTTGAAGGAGTCAATAAAAAAAAGGGCTAAGTGCAGCTATGAGACCTGACTCGACTTGATTGGTCTGAGCTGATTGATCTTTAATCTGTTCTCTACTCTCAACCATTTGGTAGCCTCTTCCCGCCATTGAACACGAAACACGAACCCCCCCGCCGAAACGCCAACTTGCCAGCAAAAATTGGCAATCAAAAACGTTTTCTGTTTTCTGTTTTCTGTTTGCTGTTTTCTGTTAACCAATTCGCAATTCGCATTAATTGGGTAATCGGATTGAGTGCAGCAAATGAGCAAATGAGACAGAAAACCCTCGAAAATAGCTCAGCACACGCGTCATTTTTGGGTTTTTTGTTTTCGTTTTTTGGGTTTTGCGCCTTTTGTTTTGGGCATTTTTACACCAACTGAAATTTGTCTTGTCTGAAAATGTAAGGCACAGCAAAAAAAAGTGTGTAAAAAAAAGAACTCAAAATTTAGAGCAAGGTAAAATGAAATTTTTGGCTAAAACTTTTTCTAATGTTTCTTGGCGGAATTTCTGCAGTTTTTTTTTTTGGTTTCTTCGTTTTTTTTTGTTGTCTTTTGTTGGATGTTTTTTAGTGTTTGGTTTTTATGGATTTGATTTAGTTTGAGTTTGAGTTTGAGTTTTGAGTTTTGGCTTTAATTTTTGGTTTGTTAACGATGGTTTATCCTCACTATTCCGAACCGATCCGATCCGAACGGATCACACGACGAAGATACATACGCGTTGATAAACTGCCTGCGGGCTGGACGGGGTTGGCTTCCAAAACACGACAGCAAGAACAATAAAAAAAAAAACACAGTTGGCAACAGTTGGCGTGCAACAACAAAAAGTGTGTGTTGGTCTTGTGGGGTGGCTTATCGAGAGTGCTGACTGCGATGCCTTCGATGCCTGTGCCTGTGGCTGCTCTATGTGGTCTGGGCTGTTGGGCCTGCAATTGATTACTAACGTGATTTTATCACACACAAGCGACTAAAGCTCGAGACAAAGCGCGCTCTGGCCGGAGCAGAGCAGAGCAGCGTCAGCGTTGAGCCAGCTCCAGCGTCGTGTCAGCCGCTTAACGCCTCGGCGACGGCGTCAGCGTCAGCGTAGGCATCGGCATCGGCATCGGCGTCGAGCCGAACCGAGTGTCTCTGCGCCTCGTCTCGAGCTCAAAAGCCTGGCCAAAATGAAAACGAAAGTGAGCCAAAAGCCAAGCTTCAGCTCTGAGCTTGACCAGATTTTTGAGTGGTTTTCGTGCTGCTTCCCCCTTTTGTTTTTGGTTTTGTTTTCCTTTTTTTGTTTGGTTTTTTTTTGGCCAAGACTATTACGCGAAAAGTTTCCGCCTCGTGACTGCCAGCTTCACTTTGTCAGGCTGTCCGTCCCAGTCCATCTCAGTGCCCCCTGTCTCCCGGCATCCGTTTGTTGGGAGTTTGTCAGTGGGCCAGTGCCGGCCAGGATTAGAGCTGGCCCGACGGCTTACACAATCTCCTGCAGCTGCGCATCGTCGCACTTTGCATAGTTTGAAGATCGCTTGTTGTTTTGGCTTTCCTGAAAACCTTTTCCTCATCTCCTTTATGCTCGATAATAATCGTTTAATCGCTTCATCGATTTATAGCTGAATCGTTAGTGTGTTTCGAGGCATTTATTGATCGCAATTTGCACAGCAATCGACTGTTGGGCAATTCCATTCAATTCCCATTTGACTGCAAATGCGAATTTTTCTGCGAATTTGAAAATCATTTCCCCCCAAATTGCCAAAAACATATGCAAATTCCAATGAATTTTGCCTGCGTGTGGCTGGCTAATAGATCACAGATATGTACATTAACTATGGCAGGGAGTTGTCTACGTAGCCTCAAACTTGGTGTGCCAGTCCCTGCTTTAGTCCATTCTATGTGTTGCTTTTTGGTAACTGCTCTGAAAGGCTAACAAAATCTTTTCTGCAGCGTCATGTTGGCCATGCACTTTGCCCAACGACTCGATGATAAACGGCAGAAAACCTTCGGCTGGTCGAGCAGCAAGGCAAACCAAAAACCAAAAACCAAAAACCAAAACCCAACATTCGACGATCAACGATCAACGATCGACCACAAGACAATGTCACACGACCAAATGGTTGTCGGCTGTCCGTTATAGTTATAATTTGTTCTTGAACAGCGTGTTCAGCGATCGATCACAATGATAATGAAGATGCTTAGCTATGCCGCCGGCTGACCTTCGGCTCATCATCGTGAACGACATTTTTGTCGAGTTTGTGATTTGCGGTGCGTGAATGAATGAATGAAGAGTGGATCTAAAGTGATCTTAGCTGCATTGAAGTTCTGGCAGCCGGAAGCTTTTATGCCGCATAATTCGCTGCGAATCGATTCAATTTTGATTGCTGCCTGGAGCTATCGAGTGGCGCTCTCTTTGTGGAGCCCTTACGAAAACCAGACCAGTCGCCGACTTACCTTCGGCAACAAGTTGTGAAGGATAACCAGTACTGTTGTTGGTGGTACTACTGCTGCTCCTGGCCTGCTGCTCCGCTCGAGATCTGCAATGGGTGAACGACACGAGTATGGGAAAGAGAATGAGTAGCAGTAAGTACAAGTAAGTGGAGCATTATGAGTGTGAGTATGAGTAGCAGTACTCGTACGCATAGCAGTGCAAGTATTCGCGCCGTCAGACATGCTTGGCGTACTACAAATTACGCATACGCCGCATAGTACAAGCAGGCAACCAGGCAGCCAGGCAGCCAGGCAAACACACACAGATAAAGTATCTCTCTACACCGCTGTTGGCTTTAGTCTTTGTGTTGCTGCATTGCAAAAGCAAACTAAATTCAAAATCAGTCAGTCTGGCAGTCAGTCAGTCGGGCAGCTAGTCAGCGACTAGCCAGGGGGAGAGAGACTCACACAAAAGTTGCATGCGTTCGAAATCAGTTTAAGGCGAATTAGATTTTGACACAAACACAAACACACACACGCCAACACACACATGCACAGAAGATAGCAGATATGTATGCATGTGTATGCAAAACCACACAAAGAGTTACAAAATTATGAAATTAGTTGCAGACTTTGTTCGGCTTTATTTTTTGTTTCTTTTGGTTTTTTTTGTTGCTTTTTGGTTTTTGCCAAAATCGAAAATGACAACGAAATTAGCTTTAATGGCCGGACCTCTGCCTCCATTGCCGCTCCTCCATGCTGGCAATAGGGCGTCGTAGTGACATTTGAATTCGGGACACTGCAAAAGCAGTTTCCAGACCTCGTGGATGGGATGTTGGAGTAGCAGTGGGAGGAGTCTAAAGAGTCTATGAAATAATGCAAAAGACATTTCAATTACTGCTGTCGCTACTGTTCTTCGATAATGTTTGCAAAGTGTTTCCAAATCGGTTTTTGGGCTTTGCCCCTACCTAACTGGCAACAATCTTGCCCCCAGCTTTGTTGGCTGCTCTAAATTAATAGCCATGTTTATGGACTGGCACAACAATTAGTGCTCATTCCGGTAGCACTCAAATTGTAGCTCTAATTGCAGGAGAGACGATGCCACTGGCTGCTGGAGACTGACTTGTCCCTGCCATTGAACCAGGCCATTCATGGCGCATCAATTAATTGTGGCTCTGGTACCTACGACGTTGACAACATTTTAAATTGTTCAAGACTCGCTTCAGTTCAGTTCGGATGAGTCTGTTGCCTGACAGTTCACTTTGCCATGTGCCCGCCCAGTGGTGCAATTAAATGTAAAAGACATTGCAGCCAGTCCCCTGTAGTCTGTAGTCTGTAGTCTGCAGTCTGCAGTCTGTAGCTGTTGCCGTTGCTGGATTCGGTGTCGATGTCAGAGTTGATGTCGTTTGCCATTGTTGTTTGTTGCCTGTTCAACTTTTAATGACAGCCCATAGACAATAACAAGGTTGTGCGGAGCAGCCCAATCCCCGATCTCTGTGGCAGCTTCATCTTTTCATCTTCTTCGTTTTGTCTTTCCTCTGATTTAATTGCCACCGTTTTTGGGGCCATTACATGCGGGGGGGGACATAGCACATAGCTGCCCATTGCTCAGTGTCTCTGGCTCGGACTATGCGCTGGTTTTGAGTCATCGAATCCAATCGAATGGCGAATGGCGAATGGCGAACTGTGATTGGGAGGTGCTATAGGCAGGCAGCACTTGTCATTGCATAAATTAGCCCATAGCCCACAGTCTCTCACAGTCTGTCTCCGGCTCAGAGCCTCGCAGCCTCGCAGCCTCGGTGACTAATTGCAAACAATTACAGATAATAAGTGGACAATATTGTACGTGTACGAGTGTACTCGTACTGTAAACATAATACCCGGGGTGAGCCCACTGCAGACAAATCACTTCTAATGCCAGTGGACAACATGATGTGAGACTCGATTGGCGACTGCAACGGCCGCTTGCAACGCCACCCCTTGCCTCTCCATTGCCCCTGTGCCAGCCTCTCTTTCTGTGCAGAGGAAACTGTCAGCCGCCCAAAACACACACAGAGGCCCATTCTAGCATGCAAAAGCTGCACACAGGATGCTCTACATGCAAGTATGTAAGCCAATTGCTGTGCACTGTACAAGTGTAGCTACAACTGCTCTGGGGAAGCTTCTTTTTGGCAGCCAATGAGCTCGTAAACTTTCGCATTATTCACTCAAAAACAGTTTGGAAATTGTGGCAGGGCCAAACAACAGAAATAAAATCATAATGCATTTAAGCCAAGTTAACATGTTAACAACTCTGCGGCCGCTGTTGTGGCTATGGCTCTGGCGGCTTTCGGTTTGGCCGTCATTTTTCAGCCGATTGGCAAACCGAACGTGGTGCTGCCAAAAATAAAAACAGCAACAAAATTCAAAATATTTCAGCGTGTTTCTTGGGTGTGAAATAATGGCAAAAGGAAAGGCCACAGATACGGAGAAACGGAATCATGATTGATCAGCTTTGCTGTGACTATTTCTTGGTTGTTGTCCCAACATTACGTGTTATCGATCAGGTCGTTTGATGCCTCCTCTTGATGCTGTCTTTCGATTATTTCTTGTGGTGTTTTGTGTCGTGTCCCGTGGTCATCTGGTGGCACACTTCAAAGCCACAACACCAGCACAGCTTTGCCATTACTAAGCACGGCTTTAGCAAGTGACTGGCTGAATTTTTTGAACTGGATTGGATATCAATCAGGCAGCAGGCAGCAGGCAGCTGGCCAACTGGCAATCTGGCAGCCGTATGCCTGAATTTAGACTGTGTCTGGCAGGCTGTCTGGCATTTGATTGCCGCAGTGATTGGCGGCTCAGACAAAAAAAACTCTGCATAATTAAATGCATGATTTGGCGTTAAATTAGTGCGGGGAAAGGATGTAAAGTCAGAAGTCAGGAGTCGGTAAGGCAGCTGCTGGCACTAATAGATTTTGTATCGATTAATCAGGATGCTGCCAGCTTCGCGCTTATTTCTTAGGACTTAGGATTCAATTTCAAAGCCAATTGTATAATCATCGTTGAATGTTGCAATGAAATCGAAGCCACAATCGAAAGCACTCTAAAAGTGCCGTCCAAAATTGCTGCAACTTAAGAGTTTACTTTTTATATTTATGGCGCTATTTATTATGTTAATTTGATGTTGTTTTCGTTGCTGGCTACGCCTTCAGCTACGTTCCGCTTGGCTGGCGGTCAGTCATCGATTTTACATTGATGACAGATACATTTGCTATCGAATACCCTGGCTGAGAGCAATATAATTGCATATCCCCAAGATCCCCTGCAGAGCGTACCCTTTTTGCACTGCGTCTGCGTCTTGATGATGGAACACTTGAGCAAGTCTATCGGCACCAGACGCTTCAACAGCCGCGGTGCCACCCCCCGCAATGACAGCCTTTGATGTCTTGCCTTGATGTGTGGTAGCCAGGCGCCAATAAACATAAAGCAAAGTGCAACAGCAACAAATTGCAACAAATAAAAGTGCAAAGATTACGTGAAAGAACTAATTCCCGCGCTCTCTGGCAGTTCGAACTCGATTTGAGGCAGTGGAGCAGCAAAATCGGAATCGGAATCGGAATCGGCATCCAAAATCAAAAAGTTGTTCGCTGCAGTGCAACTTTTTGTCTCTCTCTCTCTCTCTCTATATATATCTGGCTGTGTGTGTGTTTGTGTTGCCAAGCAGCGAAACGAAGTCCAACGATTTGGCAAGGTTATTATTTATTGCACAAAGATATGTGTTAATAATATACGCACACATATCGCTGGCATATATGTACTTTGTATACAAACTTTTGATTCGATCGATGGCAGCGCCGCTCTGCCCTGCTCTTTGGCTTTTGACAATTGTCAATAAACCCTAATTGCCAGCACAAATGATACTCACACTCACACTCAGCCCAGGCACAATGTCAAGTGCCGCTGGCTCATTGGCGCTGGCATTTCCGCTTCCGCCTGTGGCTCCAAGCCAACAAAAGGGTTTTTACTCTTTTTCTCTGTACTAATGGCAACCACAAGTCAGTGGCAGTGGCAGTGGCAGTGGCAGTTGCCACAAACGAGCTGACAATTAAAGGTGGGACAAAGAATGCGAAGAGCCTGAAGCTGGGGCTACCAAATTAGTCGAAATCTGATATCAGATCCGCCTGAAGGTCTGCCATCTTTGTCTTAATTTGATCAATTTTTGAAGCGCTCTGAAAGCCCTGAAAGTCGACACGTATGCGGAGCTATTTAAGGTTCATAAAAGTGCCATTAGATGAGCAAGTCAATTCACGATCTAAGGGCAATCGAAGCATTAAAGGGCAGGCCACTTGTGTCGCTTTTTTTTGGTTATTTAATTGGTTGAATTTGTACACTAAATACACGCACTTAGGAGTGGGGCATAGACGCGTATTTGATGACTATATCTTATGGCTGATGGCTTATGGCTTATGCCTTCCCCTACCCAGTCGGCGCTTTGTTGCGTTTAGTCGCTTATGTCATGTCAATCCAAGTTGAACCTCCCCTTCCCTCTCTGCCCATTGCCCTTTGTCTTTGTCGCACTTGAAAGGTTAAACGAGCGTAACGCCTGCGGCTTGGACTTCGCCTTCGCTTCGCTTCGATGCCAAAGCCCCCACCGCCAAACGTCTACGTCTGAGTCTACATCTACGGATGATCATTGAGATCGAGATGTACCCAGAGAGTACAGCCAGCTACTGGTAATTAAGAGTCACGCACAGCTGCGACACCTGCGATGAAGCTGCTGCCGCTGCTGCTGCTGTCTCTTCCCCGAAATGGCTTATATAAAGGCTTTTAATTTCAAGCACCTTTTTGGTTTGCGGGCACGGGGAAATGGCCCCATTAGGAAATTGGCTAATGGCTAATGGGTTTGATCTGTGCCTAATGGTCACTGCTGCTGCTGTCTGGCTTGTGGTTCTTTTTGGGAGCTGCCTTCTGCAGAGCAGAACCATTGCCACGCCCACTTGCGACTTGGAGATCGATGGGAAATTAGCATATGACAAAGAGGCAACTGGCGGACATGGCTGAATGGATGCATGGCTGGACTGGCTGGATGCACAAGCGATTGCACAACAAAAGCAAAAGCAAAAGCAAAAGCAGAAGGAGGAGCTGAAGAGGCGTAACTAGCTTAGATGCCACGCCCACAGCTCAGGCGGAGCGGAAACAAATATCGATCGATCCGATGTTATAATAAAAAGTGCGTGCTCCTCGTGGTCGCAGTTTTCGTTGAGTCGCCATGGACAATATCCGCGTGAGAGCGCTGCTCCTGCTCCTCTGCCTCATCGTGCCACGGGGCAGCAGTCGGCCGAGCAGCAGCAGCAGCAGCGGTATGCAGCTGCAATCCCATTATCTGAGAGCCATGACAGCGTACCGCCGCCTGGAGCGCACTCTGCCGCGGCAGGAGCTGCGCGCCCTCACGGGCATTGGCCTGCTGAATGGGGCACGGCAGGCGGAGGAGCTGATGGAGCAGCAACTGGTGGGGGCCATCAGGGAGCTGTTGCTGCAGCAGGACAGCGAACGGGTGTTGCCCCACATCGATGCCATTGAACAGCAGCTGACGCGGGATCAGCGAGCCCTCGAGATCCTGAGCAGCGCCCTGGACGTACTCTCGGACACAAAGGACGATCACGAGTTCCGGCTGGAGCTGCGCGAGTTGGCCCAGCAACAGCACGAGGATGAGCTGCAGCAGCAGGAGATCTCGGCGGACAATACGGGCGGACAGCAGCCGCAGGGGGAGTTGCAGCTGGAACTGGGGGAGCGACTGGGCCAGCTGCGCAGGCAAATCCTCAAGCAAGTGCCGCACATGAAGTTGCAACTGGATGCAAAGATCGAGAAGGCGTTGCAGCATTTGCTGGAGCAGGCCTCCGAGGACGGGCCGCTGGCCAAGGCCCGCCAGAAGGTCATACAGAAGCGAGCGGTGCAGGACGACGAGGAGGAGGATGAGGAGGAGCCACAACAATTACCCGAGGAAATGCGCATCATCAAGTCCATTCTGTCAGAGGTAGGTGGCTGCTTCAGCGTGTGGCTGCCACATTTAACCCCAGGCCAAACATTTGCGCTTGCAGGATGACTTCCGTGAGAATCTGGTGGAGCAGCAACATCAGCAGCAGCAGCAGCAGCAGCAGCCAGAGAGACGCAGCAAGCAAACGCAGGAGCACAATCATCAGCAGGAATTCCACAACAACTCTGAGCTGTATAATCTGCAGGAGGACGAAGACGCAGAGCAGCAGCTGGACTTTAAAGTGAGTAAAGAGCCAATTGCTCGCCGTGTGACTAACACCCAAAACTAAACCCAACCCGAACCCAGAACCCTGAACCCTCACTTAACCCATTGCCGACATGGTCTAGTCTTAACCCAACTAACGGGCTCTTGAAGTCGCCAAATGTTACAGCCAAGGGCAGCAGAGCCAAGCAAAGGGCAAAAGCAAAAGCAAAAGCCAAGCCCAAACCCAAACCCAAGCCAAAAACGAATCAGAATGCCAAGCAGCAGCTGGAGCCTACAGCCGCAACTGGCACCAACGAAGCCCAGGTCCAGTCCGAGGCCCAGGCCGAGACGGATGATGATGATGAACTGGGAGACATTGGAGACGATGGCGCAGCGCCTGCTGCTGGCGGCGGTGGAGGTCTGGTCGGCATCATTGGCAGTCTAAGTGGCGTGAGTAGCAATCAATCCAAGAGTTGCCCCCTGGCCCCCAGCTCCAACCAAATCTTTTGATTCAACTCCAGGGCGAAGGCGGCTCGGATGTGGGTGCCCTCATAGGCGCCCTCACTGGCGTCGTCTCCACTTTATTTGGGGTAAGTGCAAAGCCCTCCGAAATGATTGCCCAAATGCTTACCAAGGTTTTTCGTTGGACAGCCTGGCGGCCTGGACATTGAGACGCTGATCAGCACCTCTACGTCGCTGCTGTCGGGTCTGCTGTCTGGCAACAAGAACTTTGGCACGGTGCTCGGCCAATATGTGGGCACTGCCCTCGAGGGACTCTCTGGCGGTGGTGGAGCGGTAAGAACAGCAGCAGACCAGCGGAATCTCAGCTCATTTTTCTGCTCTTCTGCAGATCAACAATGGACAATTTCTGGGCAACTTCCTGGGCACTGTGGTGGCCTCACTAAGCGCAGTATTTATCCAATCTACCCAACAGCCTTACCCTCTCACCCTTCCCCCTAACTGTTCAACTAACTCCCAAAGCTGCCCCCGCCACACTTTTGCACGATTTTGAATGTTTTTTTTTTTGTTCCCTGCCCTAGGACCCCGAGGAGGACGGACCACCGCAGCCGCTGACCTTCGCCAAGAGCCTGCTGTCCAGCTTCCTGGAGGCCAAGTTTCGTCCCGCGGAGGCTTCTGAGGAGCGCCACGACAGCGCAGAGCTGCCCAAGCCGCGCAAAAAGAAGGCGCGGGAGGGCGGTGGCGGCCATCCAGCGGCTGGCTTCGATTCGGGCGGCTTTGTCAAGCAGGTGGCCTCCCATCTAGTGAGCAGTGCGCTGGGTCTCTTGCTCAATGCCGCCCTGGGCGCCTCGGGTGGTGCCTCCAAAGCCTCCACGGGCATCTTCTCCAGCAGCAGCAGCAGCAGCAGTGGCGGAGGCGGTGGCGGAGGCCACCATTGGAAGCCAGCGGCCCACGAACGTTCATGGGACTACGAGGAGCCATTCTAGTTGGGGTTTTTCGTAAGCGTCCCACTACTCGTAATTACTATAACCATTTTTTTTTTGTTAGTTTTTAAATAAAGAGATTTCGTTACCCGAAAAAAGAAAGAAACGGGCAGACCGACGGGCCACTTTTCGGTCACTTGGGCAGCCAAGAAAGCGTAAAAGAGGCATTAAATCAAGTGCCGTAACCGCCTTGGCGGGTGTGTGTGTGTGTGTGTGTGTGTGTGATGCAACAGACTTCAGTCCAGTGCAGTCCAGCCCCAGTCCCACCCCCAACAAGCTACGCCCACGCGTACGTCACTGCTGCCGGGCAAAGGACCCTTGGGCCAGGCAGTCGATGCCAAACGCAAGACAAGGCGGAAGCAAAAGATGCACTGGGGCAACTGGGCTGCCTGTTGTTTGGGCACAGACAAATTTCAGGGCAGAGCAATTCCCACACAAGGTATGGCCATAAGTTGGGCCATAGGCATGGCAACCCGATAGTTGAGAGTGCACACAAATATTATGGCAATGATTCATCAAAGAATACTTATGGCTACAACAACTGCTCTTACTTCTCCGATTTGCTTTTGCGAGAACTACTTTTCCCTTGTAGACTTTTTCCGCTTGTTCACTCTTCTTTGATTTTGCTGCAATCTTGTCTCTTTCACTCTCCCACTGCATCTATCTTTCTTTCGCTTTCCTCACTTACGCTCTTACGCTCTTTGGCTCTCGGCGTCTTCTTGCTCTCTTGCTCAATGGAGCAACTACTTTTGGGGGCCTTGTGTCACTTTCTAGTGCTGATTGCACGTTTCATTAAATCGTTTTGGCTTTCCTTTTCCTCTGTCTTTCACTCACTCTCTCCATCTATCTACCCCTCTCTCTTGCGCTCACTCACGCACGCACTCACTCTCTTTCACTCTCTTTCACTCTTTCTCCCCCCCCCCCCCCCCTCACACTCTTGGCCAGTGTCTCCCCTGGCACGACTGGGTTCCGTACTCGACTCTGCCGCGACTTTCAGTTATGCGTGAATCTTTCACAAGACAAAGTGACATTTTGCCGGGCCGTTTAGTTGTCGCGTCTTTTTAATTTGAAAACTCTTCAACTGTTTTGTTTATTGTTTCTCGCTTGATTTATTTTTTATTTTTTTAGTGTGTGTTGTGCTTGTGTGTTGCATTTGGAAATTGCTAATGAACTCAATTATATATATTTTGGGTGCTGCCCCGTCTCAGAGTTTGCATTGCAATTAAAGTTTGCTGCCAGCCAGCCAGCCAGCCAGTGCTGCTTCTTCTTTGGTAAGTTTTACATACATTCATACATACATACATACATACATACATACATACATGTATGTAGTATATATTGTGTAAAATGTATGCCTGCTGGAGACAGGAGTGCAGGTAGATCCCGGCTCTTGGTGTGTGCCAAACGAAAGACTTAGGCAACAAACTTGCTAACTGGACTGCGCCTCAGCTTTATCGCTGGCCGGCCAGTACTCAGACACTGATTAGCGCTCGGCTATTAATCGCTGTGGCTACTGAAATTTGGCAACCCCCCCNCCCCCCCCCCCCCCCCCCCATAAATCGAAACAGCAAACAAAAAGAGGGAAATTTTACTGTGTGCGCAATTATGATTGGAAGGGCTGTCGCGATGGAAGGAGATTTGTCTATTAAAGTTCATTGAATCTGAAGCTGGCATTTTTGTGCATTAAAATTCAACGATTTTTGGTTGGGGTTAAGCCACTGGCAAGTGGGTTGACCCCCAGCCAGCACGGAACATGATTGAAGATGGCTAAAAGTTGGAGTAAAATTGAGACAGCGACAGCCATAGCGTCAACGTCAGCTAACCACGGCATATGGCCCAAAGAAACCGGTAATGGTCTCAAGGTCGTTGACAGACAAGACTCGATGACGAGATAAGCCCTGACTTAGCCCAAAGGCAGTCGCAGTCGCAGTCGCAGCCATCAACGCCGCTTTTGGGCCACAACAAAGACGCGCTTTGTGCCCATCGATGGCGTCGAAAGAGCAGGCGAAAAGCAACAACAGCAACAAAAACAAAAACAAAAAGCGAAAGTAAATGCCACGAAAGTGGAGCACAGAGCTGGAGCTGGACGACGCGTTCGAAGGCAAACCAGCGAGGGGGCGTCCACACAGAGGCACACAGACACAAAGTTATGTATGCACATCCACAGATACATAGATACATCTGCATGCAGCCTATTTATGGTTACAGGTGTCATATCTAAGTCGGTCAATAAGTTTATTGACCAGAGAGACCACAAGCATTTCGTTTGATTTCATTTTCGAAATAAATACTCCCGCGAGATGAGAGTATTTTTCCGCTACGATTATGCAAACTCCCTCCGAACCCCCGTGAACCTCTCTCATCAAATTGGCAATAAACCAAATGCCCCTCAGTGGAACTGGGTCTTAATAAATAAAATATTTATCGCCCTGTTTATTATGTAAATTTGGAAATCATCTGTACGATTCCGCGACACGCTATTCGGATCTTCCTCTGCTCATCTGTCCGTGGGCTTTATGGGTCAATTATGAGCCGCTAAAATCCGCTTCGAACATTGGGTCTTGAGGCATTTTCACACATTTTTATGGCTGATCAAAGATCGAAGTTTAAAGAGTGACAAGACGCATCGAATTTGAATTCTTTCACGAAAGGACAGGAGGAGGGAGGCCTGGACAAAGTGCAGAAGTGATTTTCCAGCTTTATGGCTCTTGTATGGCTGGCCAGGCCGGCCAACGGCCGGTCATTAGAGCCATTGGCCATTGGCCAAGTTCTCTCTCGAATGGCCAATTAAACAAAATGATCAAATTTGAAATGCCTTTCAAAAAGCGATTGGCCGCTTGGCGAGCATTTAAACATTTATCGAAAAAAAAAAATAAAAAAAATATTATTATAGAGGCAGCGACCTTCGAGGAGTACAAGATGTACACAGGGGTGGAGCGGGTGGAGGAGGGGGGTGGGGATGGGGATGGGGAGGTGTACGTTTACATGTACCAGTAGCTAGATTTATTAATGCCAACGAGCGTCTATAATTATTGTGATCAGTGAACAAACAAACGCCACATGACTCGGCGGCTAATAAGAATCCAACACGGCACGGCGGCAGCATTAGCCTCTAGACTCTCAACAGATCCAAGAACAAAGATCGACTCCGGTGTGGCGGTGCAACGCCTTCTCCAATTAAATTCGCAGCGCAGATTTGGAGCAAAAGCATTGATCCGAAGGATTTGGCCAAAAGCTAAACAGCTAATCGAGAGGTGTATCCAAACTATTGCTCCAGCTTATCCTCCAATAACTTGTCAGTTACAGCGCTATGCCATAGAGTTGATGGCTGATGGCTAAGTGACTTGCGCCATCAACAGTTCATTGGAGGCCCAGCAATATGGTTGGCAGTTTATTTGGACTCGAACGTCTTCCTGCCAGCCGTTAACGAGCCTCGGTGGCCCGGCTCTTAACGAAGTCCGTGTCTGGGCATGTTAATAGCCCAAGACACTGCATAGATATGGCTGGTAGCTTACGGGTAACCATTAAGTGGCGGTATGGGCCCTGTGCCTCTGCGTGCCCCGTCATCGTGGCAAGAACCAAGGAACCATGGAGCATGTGACATTAATGCCACACACTCTCGGTGCACAACAGCAACAAAAAAAGTCATGCATAATGACAAAATGTTGCACAAGGCACAAGTCAGTCAGTCAGTCAGTCAGTCAGACATACATTGGGCAATGTACCAGCAGCATTCAGCATTCAGCATTCAACATCGAAAATTCAGCTGGAGAACAAGTTGCCTGCCACTGGTTACTAGATACAAATTTAATGCGTCTGCCACACAACTTGTTTGCCACATACCAGCAGCAGGCAGCAGGCAACAGGCAACAGGCAGCAGGCAGCAGGCAGCAGCTCCCTTGCCCCTTTGACATTTTACACGAGACTTCAAAATGAAACCAAAAACAAAACCCAAACTCGAACCGCTGAAGATCGGCCACAAAAGCGAGTCAGTTCATTGAGGGTCGGCTCTGGGGCAAGGACGACTCCAAGCTACAACTACAACTGCAACAACATACATCTATGTAGATCTAGTTGTACCTTATCAACCAGTGCAATTATGTCGGCTTTATGAGCCATCAGCAGTATTTGTTTGTGTGTGTGCAACGCTTTGCGTTTGGGGTCTTGGCCAAGTCAAAATGGCTTGACAAGCGGCTCGAGTTCGCAACAGCAAAACAAAGTCTGTCATAAATTTTATGAGCCACGCTCTGGGTGACAGCAGACAGCGGACAGGAGACTGACTGACAGATTGGCCAGCAATTATGGCGTTCTAATTGAGGCGCCACAGACGCCACACACAGCACTTGAAAATTTGCAACAATTGTAATTGAATTTTCCATAGTTAATTTGTTAATTGTGCAGACAAATTAGGACACTCGACGGACCGATTGAATGCAACTTTTGATTGGACTGCCTGCAGCTGGGCGGTGGGGACTCCCTCCAGCGATTCCCTCTGGGCTTCATTTGTATTCATTTTGGTTGAAATGAGATCAGACAGCAGCAACCACTTGGAAATTGAAAGTCAATTTTGGCTAAGGTTGAAGCAGGGCAAAAGTAAGAGGCACTCAGTCGGGTTCTGCAACATCTCCGCCAGAGATCCACACCTGCCAGAGATCGGTGCGCAGACTGGAGACTGGAGATCGGAGATTGGAGATTGGAGATCTTCTGCTGCCGCCTTCTACTCGGCTGCGCTCTGTCAACTGGTGCGACCTTGTGACCTACAAAAACAAAAAAAAACATTGACAGTTGTGCGTGCTGCCTGCACTTTGCATTTTGGGTTTTCGCTTTTTAGTTTTGCCAGCTTGGTTTTCTTGTAGTTTTATTTTTTTGCGGTTTTTGTGGTTGCTGGCTGAAATTTGTACATTTTTTATATTGTCATTTCAACGGATGCGCGCATTAATTTTGCTTTATCTTGGCTTCACTTTTGTTGTCATCGTCGTCTGGCCATCGCCATAAAATGTTGCATGAAACAGCGAACCAGTCGGGGCAAGGTGCGGCAGCAGCAGCAGCGGCAGCCGCAGCTCTTAATGTCAATTAAGGATTATGTTTCGTTCCCAGACCCAGACCCAGACCCGTATCGACCTTGAGCCCAGGCGTTGATTGAGTTCGCGGCTCGCACATTGATAAGCGGCTCACCTGATTTCTGCCAGCCCCAACAAAGACCCCAGAGTCAGAGGCAGAGTTAGAGTCAGCTTCAGCTTCAGCGCCAGCGTCTGGTTAAAACGGGTTAAGTGCTCTCCGGCGTTAATTAGAAAGGCATCCATGCATCCCCCGAGTGCCCGAATGTCAAGTGCCAATTTTAGGGAACAGATCGTGACATGAGCTATAATTAGGTGACTGGGCCTGATCCACCGATGAACCTCTCACAGATCCCTCAGAGCAGCTCAGCCGATGCTTGATTGTTGCATCTACAGCTGCAGTTCAACATATAAATAGCATTAATGACTTGGTTCAATTTGTGCTCATAAATGCCTTCTCAGAAGCGTTTTAGATGGTCTCATTTTAAACCAATTTAAATGTCAAAAATTGACTTAATCAACAGCAGATTTGCTTGGAATTGGATTTCGAATTGGAATCGGCTGGCGATTTATTTAGTTAATTGTTCAGAGTTCAGCCACAATCGAATTGACTAATTATACATGAATGCATATGCGGGCCACATCGAAACGGATTGGCTTGGCTTGGCTTGGCTTGGTTTGGATCGTATCGTATCGTAGCGGACTCTATGCAATTCCAGTTATTAAGTTTTTTCTTAGGTCTGAATTCAATACGCGCGCACTTTGACTCCAATTTATCGGTCTCCCTCTGGCGTCTGAAGGCGAACGACTTGATTAACTTTTCTCCACTTTGTATTCTCGTATTCTCTCTTTCAGCTGTTGGTTTGGGTTTGGGTTCGGGTTTTGTGTTTTTTTTGCTTGTGTTCTTATTACATATTACGCGGATTTCTAGCCTCCAGTTGGTACATAAATATGTATAATTTATATTGGCTATAAGTCGTTAAAAAAAGGCGCTTTAAAATGCCATTTTACATAGTTAGCACATTGTCGAGGTCAGTGTTCAATGTTGGAAGCGCATAAATTTCGCTAATTTAATCAATACTAAAGTCAAGGATCTACAGTGGCAATTCGACATGGGACAGCCCCCTAGTAGATAGTTAAATATTGTCATTGAATTAGCGACACGTTGTCCTACACTAAAGACAGATTCATTACACTTGGTAGAACCTTGCAATTTGCATTTCCCTCTGTTATCCAGCGCCCTAAAGCAGGCTAGAATGGGGCCCAGCCCCATTTCCCCTTTTTCTATGCAAAGAACTGGTTTGGCAATCAATCAATACAAAAAAAAATACTCGGTGCTAACCATCCTAAACGTATGTGCCACAAGCCCTATTAGATCTATGTTCGTTGTGTGTTTTGCTCACTAAGTGCTCTGGAAATGTTTGTTGGAGTCTTGCGATCTTTACGTTTCACGCCCAAAACGAGTTCCTTGCGAGATATTTCTTCTATTTGAGCGCCCTAAAGTATGGTAAAAAATATATGAGCAAACACTTGTGCCATCAAAGTGGTTTATAGAAGAGGATAATGGGTTAATACCTTCCCCATTTGATGTTACCAAAAACCTGTCTAAATGGAAAAATCCCAACCAACAAAATGTTGTGTTGTGTCGATGCCTCCACCCTTATGTAAGCGCTTTAGGCCATACCATGCGGCGGCGGGGCGGTATGATGATGACAATCCAATGCGGAGAGTGCTTGAGAATGCATTAAACACAATTCCAGAGAGTAGCCTGTGCCTGCCAGAGTGCCTCTCAGCTGGCTTGGCTGTGCTTTAATTGAAAGCCAAAAAGTACAAATTAAAAGCGCATTGCAGAAACAGTAACAGCAACACCAACACTAACACCAACGAAGCCAAAGCACAGACAGAGTGACTTAACACATTTCTCTCTTCATACGTTTTGCACTTTATTGAGCGCTTTTTTTGTGTGCGGTGCGATGCGGTGAGTTTTTCGCTCAAAAACGAGTTGGCCAGCGAGTTTGAGACGCGACGCCGACGTTGCTGGCGACGTTAGCGCCGCAATAAAATTCAATTTGGATGGATTTCGTTGAGGTATTTGTTGCTTTAATTTTCGGGTTGCCAGACGCCGACGCTGGCAGTAGCAGCAGCAGCAGCAGCAGCGGGCAACTCAGGCAGCAGCTCGGGCAGGTCGGTAAAAAAAGCTCCGACGCGTTCGGGGCTGCGCTTGCGCTGTGGCGCCGTTGCGCCGTGGGCTGTGTAACCGATTTTTTGGCCACTGCTAAATCATTGAAGTAACTTTCGTCTGCAGTCATTTGCTTAAAGTTAGTGAACGTGCTAGTATCGCGTATCTGGCGGCGCGGCTCACCACCGATCGAATCAAAGAAAAATCAAGAAAAACCTCAAGCGGTTTCAATTTTCATCATTCACTTTTTTGTTTGTTTTTTGTTTACCTACCACTTGTCTGCCCTTTAAGCGCTTCAAGTTTTGTGTGTTTTTGTTTGTTTTTGGTGTGTAGCCCCCCGCATATGGGTGAAATATTATTTCAGTATCCACCCCTCTTGCTTCCCTCAGAAATATAATTGAAAACTGCGCGTGCCCAGTGATTGATAGTCTTTCCTTTGGTTAATTGCAGAATCTACAACGAAAAGGAGTCGTCCACACAAGATGCAGTACACAAAGTGCAAAACGATTTTGATGCTGGCCGTTCTAGCGTTATCGCTGACGTTATCTTTATCGGCACCCTCGCCCCAGCAGCTCAACGCCGAGTTGGAGTCCACCCTGCAGGACAGCAGCTTCAGCAGCAGCGACCCGGACCTCAATCCCATCAATGCAGAGGTAAAGCTCCCTAACCAACCATCCACCCAAATCCCAACAAGGAAGTCAGCCCAAAAAGAGACAGCAGACAGACAGCGAGAGAGACAGAGTGGGGAAACTTGATTGTCTCGTCTCCTTGGGGGCAGCTGGGGCGTGAAAGTGAATTTTGCCTGCGGCTCTCTGCGGCTTGTTGCACATTTCGCCGTTTCTCTGTTGCTCTGTGGCTCTGTGGCTCTTTTGCTATTGTTGTGTAAGCCGCTGCTAATTTTTGCGGCCTGGTGCATTGAACCGACTTCTGGCATGGCCATAGCCATGGCGAATATGTTAATATCGAATACCGCACAAGATATCGATTTGAATTCGAATATGAATACGAAATTCGTTGCCGAATACAAGACCCACAGACATGACGACCTTGAGCGCGACGAAACTTGTTAACGACCTACGTTAACATTTCAAAACCGTTCCCCAAAAAAATAACTGAAGACCGAAGACCGAAGACCGAAAACCCAAAAACCCAAAGCCAACGCCTCGCGAGGGGAGGAGAGGCAGATGCAGAAGCAGAAGCAGAAGCAAAAGCACAAAAAGAGAAAGAGAGCGGGTCCAAGCGAAGACCGACCTCATCCAGGGCTCATCACTTGTCTGCCTACGCGCTCGCTCTCTCTCTCTCTCTCTCTCTCTCTCTCTCTCCTGCGCTGCTGATGCGTGGCTTGTGAAACATTTCCCCGCTTTAACAGTTTGCTAATAGATTTCTACGCTCTTTCGTGCTTATTGATTCAACAACAATATGTTGTGAAAATTTAATTGAATTCACACAATTTGCACACAAAACAATTAAGAGCCAATGTGCAACCAGCAGCAAGAAACAGTGGAGGCGGAACAGCCGGAACAGTTCCGAAGAGAGGGAGCTAGAAAGGGGACGAAAGAATGAGAGAGGGATGTAACTGTAAATGAAAACACTCAGCATGTATGTGCATGTGTTCTGATCTGATTTATAAGTTTGCTCTAGGTTTAACTTTCGGTTCATAGCAACCTCTTGGAGGCCCATTCATAAGTTGTCTGCCTGACTACCTGCCCTTTACCATTTACCCAGTTGCACCTTTGTTCAAGTCCCTGTGGCGCTTTAAACGTCTGACCTGATTTTTGGCATATATAAATCATAGCTCACGACCAACACAACAAAATGCTTTGAAAACTGTTTGTCACTTCGGAAAACCAAAACAAAAACCAAAAACAATGCAACGGTCGGGGGGTGAGCGGATAGCGTAATGTGTTTAGCGTTTTGTTAAACTAATAAATTGCCATGCAAATGTTTTAGCTTTTCGAAAAAAGAAAAACAAAAACCAAAGTAGGCAGAAACAAAAAGCATGTGGGCCGCAGCAGGCACTGGACCGCAATTTGCAAATCTCAAGTGGGAGAATGGCAGAACAATGGAGCAAAGATTTTTGCCAAATTACGAATACATGCAACCAAAAATGAATTGCACAAAATTTCGGCCAAACAAAAAATGACAAAAGAAGTGGCCAGGCAGGCAGCCACAAAGGGTTGGTCCAACCATGAGTTTAAAGTACTTAACCGCACTGCCTAGAACCACTTTATTAACATAAACTCTGGGCTACAATTTTCCAGCAGTTAAAGTTCCCTTTTTTGCCTGAACCATCCAAAGGCCAGAGAGTAGGCCCCTGAGTCAGAGGCTGAGTGCTTTTCCCGTAATGCGAATTAATATTCAAATCACTTGCCCAATAATTGCATAACTTCGTTAGAGGCTAAGCGCAGGAGTAATAGCGTACACAACGGAAGAGTGCCACAAGCGCAAATGACGTCACAAAACAAAACAAAACAAAACAAAAACCAAATTAAAATTATGTCCAGAGGTCGTCGTATTACTGCAGGTATCTATACGTAGGCCAAGTAATCGCCGAGTCACATCCGATTGCACTTAAACAGCAGCAGCACCTTCGACAGCTCAGCTGAGGCTCAGTAGAGCTCGGTTTTAGATCGTATTGGATCGGTACAGTTTTGGTTCAGTTACGGTTTGTTTTGGTGGGGTCTGTAATATGCGTTTTGTTTAGAAATGAGCTGCTTTAGGCTTCAGTTTCGATTTCGACTTGGATTTCGGCTTCGAGCTGCATACATATCGCATGCTTTGGGCCAATCAGAGTCAGAGTCGGAGGCAGCGCCTGTTGATGGACTGAATGCTAAGTGCAGATCGTTGGGGTCGATCGAGAAGCGAGCCAAGCTTTCGACGGCTTAGAATGACCAAGATCGAGACACCAAAGCGGCCCCCAGCAGCAGTTTTAAATTGATTAAACACAAGTGTGAGTGTTATAATTATGTATGTGTGAATACGTTTGAATGCATGAATGTTTCACTGCTTCAATGTGTATGTGTGGGGCCAGGCAGCCAGCCCCAAAATTGGGTCAAGTCGAACCGGCCTTAAGTGTCAGAGATTATCGAGTGTTTTTTTCGTCTATTTTTTTGTTTACTTCTTTGCCAGTAATTAAACTTGAAGTCAGTTTTGGGCAAAGAATCACACAGAAAATACTCGTAAGCGAACAGCAATTAGTTGGGGGGGAAAAAACCCAAGCCCCAGATACGAGTAGATGGCTTGAAAGTTCATGGTCCAGCGAAGAGCCCCTGCCAATGTCTGTACCCCGATTCGATTCCTTTTGCAGGAGGTGTTGGGCGATGGCCAAGAGCGCAACAAAAGAAAACTACCCGATGCGACATTTGAGGCCAAGAATGCCGTGCTCGGCTTTGTCTTTGGTGTAAGTATGATCTGCTCCACAGTGGCTAGATATGATATGAAATGTCCTTTTGTTTGCTGTGCTCTTTAGAAAATCGACAACTTCCTGGACACGAAGACGCGCGTGATCGAGCAGCTGGACCGCACCAATATCGAGAAGAATAAACAGTGGGACATCAAGTCGCCGGTGCCCATCAAGGACTTCCAGACCCTGATCACAGCCGTCGTCTCGCCGAAAATCCGCTCGTTGGGCAACATTGCCAATGACATCACCACCGGTGTATTGACGACCATCACCGCCTTCAGTGGCTCCTCGGCGGGCAATGGCAATCCCAATGCCGGCCTGGGCAATGTCGTCTCAAAGTTCTTGAGCTTCTCCGGCCCCATACTGCAGGGCTCCTCGGGCGGCGCTAACGGCATTGGCGGTGTAACGACACCCTCACCGGACTCTGACGAGGCGGGCTACTAAACAGGAGCCACAGGATGAATGGAGAAAGAGAGAGAGAGAGAGAAAGCAATGAGAGCGCTAAATCGGTTGAACTTTGTAATTTATCGTTATCCTTCGACCAATTCTCAGATTCTCACTCAACACTCTTGGATGCATGGAAGCGTGGATGCAAAATCTTGTTGAATTTTCCTGCCCGGCCCTGCCCTTGCTCCCCTCCCCCACACTAGTTAAGCTCAACTTTACGCATTGTTTCATGTTTGTACATACATTCGGCATATATAAATACTATCGATATCAATCAACCCACACGACACTATGGCGATCGAAAATAAATAAAGGAAAAAGAAAATTAAACACAAATACAAAAACGCAATCCAAATGTTTGAGGTTGGGGCTGGACTTTTTTTGGCATTGAGTTAAGCTTGGGTCTGTCGTTGGCTGTTTGTCTCTGTTTCTGTCTCTGTCTCTTTGTTGGCTAACACACACTCATCGCAATCTGTCTCTCTCTATCTCTCTTTCTTTATCTATTTCTCACAGAGCAAGGGCAGGCGGCCACGTGCAGGGGACAAAGACCTGAAGGATGCCGCGGAGCTTGACGGCAGCATGGTGTCACTCGAGCTGCCCTCTGGGCTCTTCGACAAGTCCTTCCGCGCCATCACCAATGTGGCCAAGTCGCTGTCAGGCCTGATCATGGTAAGAGCGCGAGACAGAAGCTCTTTCTAGCTATGCAATGAACACAGCGAGAGAGCTTTCGCCGTGAGCTTTTTGGCACGTGGCTGCAGCAGAACTTTAAGCAAAAGTTTACCGCTTTAATCTCTCTCTCTCTATCTCTCTCTCTCTCATTCTTCAGGGCACTGCACGCCGCTATTCCCGCTTTGTGCTCTTCTTCAAGCCCATCTTTGGGGATGCGCTGGTGGTCGAGGGTTTTGAGGATCCCACCACCACAACAACAACCAGACGCACGACCATCGCCAGCACCACCACAACAGAGTCGGTGGACAAGCTGAACGAAGTCTAAGCTCGAATTTCATCATTCTATATTTTATACATATTGTTTTTTTTGTTTGTTCGTATCTTAATTGTATTTGTAACCTGTTGGGCCTTGTGGAAAAATATATAATCGTATTTATTGGAAGCCACACCCACCGCTCCGACTACGGGGATGCACTGCGTGGGCGCAGCATCATGCGAACTATCTTCAGGGAGCCCTTGGGTCCGTCGAGAAAGCCGCGCCACAGAATGCCCTTGTAGCCGTCCGGGTCCCGGTCGAGCAGGCGCTGATACAAGCCAAAGGGATTGCTAAGAAAGAAGAGAACAGTGAGTGGACAGTGCAGACAGTGGGGGAGACTGTTGCATGAACGAAACGCACCTCAAATTGCAGGAGCTGCCGTACCAGAAGGCCGCCGACTGCGATGCCGCACAATTGGCCTCACTCTCGTCGTTGTCCCTGTCCTGGGTGCTGAACTTCTTGCCGGTGTGCTGTCTCAGCGCATCGGCTGCATCGCCCTGATACTTCCCGAGCACATTCAGATGGTACTGCTCCGACTCGCTGCCGATGCCAAAGTGATCGTAGAGCGCATAGCGCAGCTCCTGCTTGCGGTTCTGCAGCTGGACGAGCAGCTCGTAGTTGTCGCTGCTGGTGATCTGGTGCAGCTTGTCCAGCCCAATGAAGAACTCGGTGGTGAGCGGCCCGAAGCCGATCCTGTAGTCGTCCCACTTGCGATTAAAGTTCTCGCTGCCATCGTAGCGATTGACCACCATGATCCAGCCACCGCCGCGCACCTTCTGGTCGCAGAACACAAAGAAGGGCTCCACATTGGCGCGGAGTCGTATCCGCACAACGCCATGCTGCTGCTTCAGGCAGTTGCTCGGCGTTGCGGGTGCAGTCACCGCTCCGTTGCCCTGGGCTGCCAGCAGCTCTGGCTGTACATCCAAGCTGGAGAGGAGACCGGAGATGGGTCTATCAATCAATCAGTCAGTGTTCCCCCACACCCCTGACCCAACCCGCACAGCTTACAATCGAGAACCAATGTCATGCGTCGTGCCCAGGGCCAACACCGGCTCCCCACTCCTGCGCAGATCCACCAGCTGCTCCTGCAGGCCTCCAATCTGCTCCTTGACACTGGCAATGTCGTTGCTCAAAGTCTGGATGCGTGTGTTGAGGCCACTCAATGCAGAGATGGGACAGCTGGTCTGCTCAAAGATAGAGAGAGAGAGAGAGATGTAGCGAGAGAGAGAGAGAGAGAGAGAGAGAAGTGGTGCTCACTGCATTATCCAGAGTGGGCGGCACCATGCCCAGTCCACCGCCCAAATCCGTTTGCGTTGTGGTAAGGCACGCCATGGCCATAACCAAGGCATCCAGCTGTAGCATCTGCTGCGACATGTCTCACTGACTGAGCTCTGACCACTGACCACTGAGCACTGGGGGGCTGATCGACTGCTCGATCGACGACTGCCCACAAAGGTCATCATGCAATTAGATTAATTCTCTCTCCAGCCAGCCAGCCAGCCAGCCAGCCACATGGCAAACGAGTATGCAAAATGATTAGATGACTAGTGTTGCGCAGTGATTGTGCAGCTACTGGCAGTGCCACACACTGCACAGTGTGATCGGTGATCGGTGATCACTGCCAGTGACTTGTGGAGGGCATCTCCAACCAGCCAGCCAGCAGGTGCACTTGCAACTGCGTCTCAGTCGCAGTCGTTGCCTCTAGCTGGGATCGAGCACAACTTGATTTGTCGCCGAACACATAGGAATAGAATCATGGCACTGGAGTCGCTCGTCACGGCTTTGGCCTGCCTCAGCACCACCACAATGCCGGAGAAGTCTCTGTCTCCGTCTCTTCCTCTACCTCGGTCCTCTGTTATAATGCGAAACTCAGTGGAGCCATTCCTCCTCAATGTAAATGTGAGTACTGTTCAGATCTCTCTTTCAACTGCTGATGGTTTCTCTCTGCCCAGGACACTGCGTGTCCCGTGAGCGCCTTGGGCGGTTTGGCAGCGCGGTGAGTGCTCCGAGTGTTCGATGGGAAAGATTTGCTCCATGACAGCGCCTCTACTTGTCCTTACAGCATCCAGTTCATGACGGACGAGCTGCAGACACTCACGACGGAGTTGGGCGAGCTGCAGCAGCTGATCGATGAGTACAAGAACCAGGCGCCGGGCGAGGCAATTGGCACACGATCGTAAGTGTTGCCACTCCCACAGTTGATCCTCACTTATCCTCATCTACACACTGCAGTCTGCGTCCCGTGCCAGCGATTGTTCAGGCATTGCCAGCGGTCGGGCCCAGCGATGATACACCGCGGAATTGCTGGGACCAGAAGCACGGCCAGGTGCGCATCCGTGTGGCGCAGCACGTGGAGCCGTTCTTCGTGAACTGTGACCAGAAGGAGCGCGACGGTGGCTGGCTGGTGATCGCCTACAGATTCGATGGCAGCGAGGACTTCAATCGCGACTGGCAGAACTACAAGGCCGGCTTTGGGTCACTCAACTCGGAGTTTTTCATTGGGCTGGAAAAACTGAGTCTTCTGACCAACAGCGATAACTACGAGCTGCTCGTCATAATGCGCAGCAAGACGCGGGAGCAGCGCTTCGCCCTCTACGATCACTTCAGCATTGGCAGCGAATCCGAGAAGTATCTGCTGTATGTGCTGGGTCCGTACAAGGGCGATGCCGGTGACTCGCTGCGCTACCATGCGGGCAAGAAGTTCACCACCTTCGACCAGGACAACGACGACAATGGACAGAACTGCGCCCGGACACATGCGGGCGCCTGGTGGTATGGCCGCGAGTGCTTCGAGAGGTATTTATTCAGTCAATGTCTGCAGTTTGATTTTGAGCTTCTGCTTTTCCCTGTTTAGCAATCTCTTTGGCACGTTCCAGTCCAAGTATGGCCAGGAGATTGGCTACTTCAAGGGCATACTGTGGAAGAGTTTTGTGCCGGGACCGACGGGCTCCCTCAGCTACGTTCGCATGCTCATCCGGCCGACGAAAAAGGCCCAAACCTAATATCCTTGACGCACACAATACATATTAAATATTTCGAATTGTTGCGAGAATAGTTTTGTGGCCATTTGTGTCACTCTCTATGGCTGATTGCCTCTGGGGAATGCCTCTGAAACCAGAAACCTGAAACTGGTTTTAATTATTGCAATTATTACATCCACGATATATATTTCGCATTGAAGGTGCTCCTCGCTCAATTAATTGGCACACAATGCGCTCATACACTGGGGAAAATACTGCCATGCCCGCTCATTAATGGCATATTATCATGAGAACATTTCTACGACATTCTCTTTACTCATTTGCATACAATGCAGCCAGGGGGGGGAGCTTTCGGAGTTTGCTAAGCAACGGAAATTGTTTGTCTCTAAAAATAATACACACACACACGCCAGAACTCGCATTACGTGTTCCATCTGCATTTCAAATGCTTATAATATCGAACGCCACACACTGCGTATACGTAATTTAGAACAAAGCAAAGCAGATGGCATGGTGGGGGTAGGTACGCACTCGTAATTCGAGTGTCATTGGCACCTCCATGGTGCCCCGACAGTCCCCCGACAGACATACTCGTAAGAAAACTTTGACGACAAACAAATTTCATAAATTTTCTACACAGCAATTGAATGCGTGAGTGGGCGGAGGAGAATGCTGCGGGGTTGGGTGCTTGGGCGGGAGTAGCTTCTGTGCAATTGTGTGCCAAATTCAATAAATAACCAGAGTAACCTGCGTTCGCTTTTTGGCTGTTCCCACCACGATCCCTGAATACCCTTCCACCAGAGGATAAGTGAAGAAAGAACTTTGAAAGTGAAACTAAAATATTTACAAAATTAATTGTGGGAGAAGCTGCTGCTTAAGGAGGCTGACATACTCCCCGTGTTTCCCCCATCGAATAGCGAATATTCCCCGAGCAGCTACACGGCCCATTGGAGGACATGATAGTAAATAAATGTGCTCACTTGAACACTCGGAGTTTTGGCCCCCAACACACAACTTTTTGACAGTGTCGGAAAATATTAAACAATGCGCACGGCGCACGACTGACAATGAAATGCGCCATGCGGCATGCGGCATGCGGGGGAGCTACTTCCACTTCGACTCATGCTTCCACTTGTTTTTCCTTTTGTTTCGTTTACTTTTCGTTGTAGATTTGCTGTGTATTTTCTTGTGTTTTTTGGCTTTTTTTTTAGAATTTTCATAAAACTTTTCCTCGTTTGCCGCTAATAAATTATTTTATTTTTTTTTGTTCGAGAGAGAAAAAGTTGGCTCCTGGCGATAGCGATGCCTTCGAGCACTAAGCTGTTTGCAGAAGGGGCAGGCTGGGGCGTCTCCCTGGGGTCTGGGACTTCGATACCGATTCCATACCAAAAACTGCATATTGTTCCAGGAGTCCGAGGCGACATCACAATCCTCGTTTTATGTCTGTCTGTCTGTCTGTCAGCCCCCCCTGTTGTAGTCCTGTGTGTAGAGCGTCCTCTTTGGGGTTTATTATTCCTGGGTGTGCTTCTGCTTTGTTCATAAATAATTTGCGCCACAACTCAATTTCATGAGCGTAAATCACTGTGTGGTCACTTGGCACCCAGTGCCGTCTCTACTCCCGCTTCCACTCCCCCCCTTCCATCCACCAGTTGCTTATTGTTTCCACTTCTCCTTTACGAAATAATTCCCCCGACTTGTTCAGCTTTATTTCCACGATGTTTGCCCTTCCCTTCTCTTCGCTTCGCTTCGTTTGGGTTTCCTTGTTGGTTGCGTTGGTTTGTTGCTTGCTTTGTTGGCTCGGATGCTATTCGGTTGTTTGGTGGCCATTTACCATACAATTCCTTATTTATGTGCCGGCCCGGAGAAAGTTTTTTTTTCCCTGAAAGTCCCCTGGAGTCTTTGTGGAGTCCAGCCGGAGTCCAGTCTCAATAATAGAGGGACAGCCGCCACCGACACCGTCACCGACATCGCCTCACTTTCTGACTTAGTTGCCCCTGAAGATGGTTCTGTCCTCTCCCGTGCCATATATGTGTGTGTGTGTGCTGTGGCAGGGTGTGTTAAATCAACACAAAGTTGCGCCAAACTTTTCAATTGGCTTGACAAATATAAAGAAATTTACAATATCGCATCCCGAAGCGAACAAAAAAAAGGGACACAATGCCCTGCCCTGCCACACGCAGCACAATCAAAATTCGAATGGGGAAGGCAGCCCAGGGAAACCCCAAAATACAAACGTTTTCTTGGTCAATAAAAGAAGTAATTTCTCACACTGCATCTAACGTATCGTATCATTTTTTACATTCTATAAAACGCCATCAAGTATCTGTTAAAACATTGTAAAGCCCAGTGGAAGCGACTTTTAATGGTCTTCGGAGCGTAGAATTGGAAAGACACTCTTTTGATATGCTAAATTCAATTCTTGTACCCTTTACTTTTCAATAGTTTCCATCTTTCAACTTTACTTGTAAGAATAAAGCTAATCCTAAACCCCTAATGTCAGTGTAGCTTTGCTCTCGAGCAGAAATTATCACGCCGAAAGGTGATCCGATCGGCGGAACTTGGGCTCCAAGTGTATGCAACGTGGGAGCTACGCAGTCTGCACATGGATTCCGCAATAAAAAACAACATTACACTAAATTCTCATATTTCTTTTGCTTTTGCCGCCCCTCCATCCGACAGAGTCACCGTTTTTCCGCTTGTTTATTTACAGCCCAAAAAGGAAAACGTCAGGGTGCTGCCGCTTCAGACAGGACTGTGGGACGAGCGGGGAGGGCCGACAATAAATTGCAATTCCAAGTCACTTAAATTGCAACAAATAACAGGAGGCAACTTGACAGCGAGGGAATAACGCAAACTGAGGAGCAGCCAGCAGAGAAAGAGAGAAAGATGTCGTGAGATGTCGTCCACGTGTTAAGGGGCAAGGGGTGGTGCCGCTGGTATCCTTTGGCCATTTATTTATGCTGCAGTTTTACGAGTAATTATAGCCCTGAAAAGAGGTGCAGAGATTGCATAAAGAGGTGCCCGGAAACAGCTCTTAATCGACATTTTAATCCGGCTAGAGGACTATCTGAGATCTTGAGATAACAAAGTGCCAAAAGAGTTGGAATGCAACGGGCACTCTGCTGGAATGAATACTCGCACCTTAAGTAACGTACAGCAGCTGTCCAGCCCTGAGCTCGTTTGCCTGCTGGCTGACTGCCCCTTGGCGTTGGTTTATGCTTGCAACACACACAAACAAGAGGAGCGACAGGCAGCAACTGCAATTGCAGCTGCAACAAATAGTGTCAACGTTGATGCATGATACAGATTTGTTGCTGTTGCTGGAAGATGCCTGCCTGCCAGCCAGCCAGCCCGCCAGCCAGCCAGTTGGATTGTCATTTCGCTTGACTCTTATTGCATTTGGACAAACACGAAATTTTTATGAGCATCTCCTCCGACTCTGACTGTGACGCTGATTTATTCGCATTAAGAATTATTATTATGTTATCCTGCCACAGCCCCTGCTCCTTTCCAGTCGCTGCAAATAAAATATTTAACTAGAAATAACTATTAAATGTTATATCAATGTGCATTTGCTTTTAGCGGCATTAAAAATGCATTTACCGGAGCACCAGGAGCGCCAGGTAGGGAAACATAAAAGAAAAGTGCCAGGCAAAAGGTGAAGCAGAAGGAAGAAATGCTTCTGGAATAAGTATAAATATAGTAATAGTTCTGGCAGTCCATGAATACGTGCGGCATTTTTTTGTAGCTCAAAACTTGACAGCAATTGCGGCAGCCCAAAAGTGACAGACTTCAATTAGTTACGGGGATCAACCCCGAACCCGAGGCCCCAAACCCTGCAGAAAAATGACAAAAGAATGGCAGACAGACAGACAAAACAGTGAAGAAGCCCACGCTCTGTCGCTTTTTCTCTCTGTCTCTGTTTTCGATTCCCGCTCTTCTGGCCGTTACCTCTTAATTAAAACGAAATGTTCACAGCCGCTTTGGCAATTCAGTTAGCCTGTACCTGGGAGCGGTCCCTCCCCCCGTATGCCCCGTATCCAAGTGCCATATATAACTCATAACGATTCAGTTGGAGCAGCAGTCCATGTCCAGGCCCTGGTCCAAACAAAAAGCTCGAAAAAATTGGTCAGGCCAATGGCTAAGCAGCGGAGAGAGGCCCCAAAAAGCCGCAAAAAAAGAAATGCAACTTTATGCGTGCCACACACAAAAAAAAAAACAAAAAGAAAGCGAACAAAAAATTGAGCGGGAGTTCCACTTTTTGTGGTGCCCCGAAAGAGGGTAAAAAGCTAAACAATGACAGCTGCAGCTGACGCGGAGCTGCACTAGGACGAGGAGCAGATGAAGGAGCACCAGCAGCAGCAGCAGCAGGAGGTGCTTTTGGGGGCAGGCACGGCACGGGCTATGGCATTTACTTACGGTCGAACGCACTTCATCTGGAAACCATAAAATTGAAAAATACTGCAACGAGCAAGGGGCAGAGGCAGAGCGGGTGAGTGGGCAGGAGGGCATGGCAATGACGACGATGATGGCTTGTTGGGGGGTTCCACGGTTTGGCGTGGCGTGGCATGGCATGGCGCCTGCTGAGGTTAGGGTTCAGGCTTTGGGTTTGGTTTTTAAACCGCACAAAAGTCATTTGAGCGCCGTCGTTAACATGTCACACACATACACACACCCATTGTCGGCTGCGGGAGGGCAAACAATGCATTTGTCTTAGCGATGAGCGCGTGAGTGGCACTGCGGCATATGCTGCACCGTGTTAATCGTGCAACTAATGGGCAAATCTTTGGCTTTTGCTTTGTACATCTCTTGTGTGGATCATCGCTGCTCCTCACGCGTTCATCTCAAGCTGGCCCACATCATTGCCATCGCCACCGCCATAGCCATTGCCATCATCATCATCATCATCAGTGGCAGTGGCAGTGGCAGTGGCAGTCGCAGTTGGCCTTTTCTTTTGGCTTAGACCGCGGACTGCCTTCTCCTCCTGCCTGCTTTGACTTCTGGGGCGGGCGCCTCCTGGGAGAACCGCAGAGTACGCGGCACGAGACCACATGTCCATTTTGTTCGCCTTTT